GCTATCTCCTCGTGCTGTTATCTCCTCGTGCTGTTATCTCCTCGTGCTGTTATCTCTTCATGCTGTTATCTCCTCATGCTGTTATCTCCTCGTGCTGTTATCTCCTCGTGCTGTTATCTCCTCGTGCTGTTATCTCTTCATGCTGTTATCTCCTCATGCTGTTATCTCCTCGTGCTGTTATCTCCTCCTGCTGTTATCTCCTCATGCTGTTATCTCCTCGTGCTGTTATCTCCTCGTGCTGTTATCTCCTCATGCTGCTGTTATCTCCTCATGCTGTTATCTCCTCGTGCTGTTATCTCCTCATGCTGCTGTTACCTCCTCGTGCTGTTACCTCCTCGTGCTGTTATCTCCTCGTGCTGTTATCTCCTCGTGCTGTTATCTCCTCGTGCTGTTATCTCCTCGTGCTGTTATCTCCTCATGCTGCTGTTATCTCCTCGTGCTGTTATCTCCTCATGCTGTTATCTCCTCGTGCTGTTATCTCCTCAAACTGTTATCTCCTCGTGCTGCTATCTCCTCGTGCTGTTATCTCCTCATGCTGCTGTTACCTCCTCGTGCTGTTACCTCCTCGTGCTGTTATCTCCTCGTGCTGCTATCTCCTCGTGCTGTTATCTCCTCGTGCTGTTATCTCCTCGTGCTGTTATCTCTTCATGCTGTTATCTCCTCATGCTGTTATCTCCTCGTGCTGTTATCTCCTCGTGCTGTTATCTCCTCGTGCTGTTATCTCTTCATGCTGTTATCTCCTCATGCTGTTATCTCCTCGTGCTGTTATCTCCTCATGCTGCTGTTATCTCCTCATGCTGTTATCTCCTCGTGCTGCTATCTCCTCGTGCTGTTATCTCCTCATGCTGTTATCTCCTCGTGCTGCTATCTCCTCATGCTGTTATCTCCTCATGCTGCTGTTACCTCCTCGTGCTGTTACCTCCTCGTGCTGCTATCTCCTCGTGCTGTTATCTCCTCGTGCTGTTATCTCCTCGTGCTGTTATCTCTTCATGCTGTTATCTCCTCATGCTGTTATCTCCTCGTGCTGTTATCTCTTCATGCTGTTATCTCCTCATGCTGTTATCTCCTCGTGCTGTTATCTCCTCGTGCTGTTATCTCCTCGTGCTGTTATCTCCTCGTGCTGCTATCTCCTCGTGCTGTAATCTCCTCATGCTGTTATCTCCTCGTGCTGCTATCTCCTCGTGCTGTTTTCTCCTCATGCTGCTGTTACCTCCTCGTGCTGTTACCTCCTCGTGCTGTTATCTCCTCGTGCTGCTATCTCCTCGTGCTGTTATCTCCTCGTGCTGTTATCTCCTCGTGCTGTTATCTCTTCATGCTGTTATCTCCTCATGCTGTTATCTCCTCGTGCTGTTATCTCCTCGTGCTGTTATCTCCTCGTGCTGTTATCTCTTCATGCTGTTATCTCCTCATGCTGTTATCTCCTCGTGCTGTTATCTCCTCGTGCTGTTATCTCCTCATGCTGTTATCTCCTGATGCTGTTATCTCCTCGTGCTGTTATCTCCTCGTGCTGTTATCTCCTCGTGCTGTTATCTCCTCGTGCTGTTATCTCCTCATGCTGCTGTTATCTCCTCATGCTGTTATCTCCTCGTGCTGCTATCTCCTCGTGCTGTTATCTCCTCATGCTGTTATCTCCTCGTGCTGCTATCTCCTCGTGCTGTTATCTCCTCATGCTGCTGTTACCTCCTCGTGCTGTTACCTCCTCGTGCTGCTATCTCCTCGTGCTGTTATCTCCTCGTGCTGTTATCTCCTCGTGCTGTTATCTCCTCGTGCTGTTATCTCTTCATGCTGTTATCTCCTCATGCTGTTATCTCCTCGTGCTGCTGTTATCTCCTCATGCTGCTGTTATCTCCTCATGCTGTTATCTCCTCGTGCTGTTATCTCTTCATGCTGTTATCTCCTCATGCTGTTATCTCCTCGTGCTGTTATCTCCTCATGCTGCTGTTATCTCCTCATGCTGTTATCTCCTCGTGCTGTTATCTCTTCATGCTGTTATCTCCTCATGCTGTTATCTCCTCGTGCTGTTATCTCCTCGTGCTGTTATCTCCTCGTGCTGTTATCTCCTCATGCTGTTATCTCTTCATGCTGTTATCTCCTCATGCTGTTATCTCCTCGTGCTGTTATCTCCTCATGCTGTTATCTCCTCGTGCTGCTATCTCCTCGTGCTGTTATCTCCTCATGCTGCTGTTACCTCCTCGTGCTGTTACCTCCTCGTGCTGTTATCTCCTCATGCTGCTATCTCCTCGTGCTGTTATCTCCTCGTGCTGTTATCTCCTCGTTTTGTTATCTCCTCGTGCTGTTATCTCCTCGTGCTGTTATCTCTTCATGCTGTTATCTCCTCATGCTGTTATCTCCTCGTGCTGTTATCTCCTCATGCTGCTGTTACCTCCTCATGCTGTTATCTCCTCGTGCTGCTATCTCCTCGTGCTGTTATCTCCTCATGCTGTTATCTCCTCGTGCTGCTATCTCCTCGTGCTGTTATCTCCTCATGCTGCTGTTACCTCCTCGTGCTGTTACCTCCTCGTGCTGCTATCTCCTCGTGCTGTTATCTCCTCGTGCTGTTATCTCCTCGTGCTGTTATCTCTTCATGCTGTTATCTCCTCATGCTGTTATCTCCTCGTGCTGTTATCTCCTCATGCTGCTGTTATCTCCTCATGCTGTTATATCCTCGTGCTGTTATCTCTTCATGCTGTTATCTCCTCATGCTGTTATCTCCTCGTGCTGTTATCTCCTCATGCTGCTGTTATCTCCTCATGCTGTTATCTCCTCGTGCTGTTATCTCTTCATGCTGTTATCTCCTCATGCTGTTATCTCCTCGTGCTGTTATCTCCTCGTGCTGTTATCTCCTCGTGCTGTTATCTCCTCATGCTGTTATCTCTTCATGCTGTTATCTCCTCATGCTGTTATCTCCTCGTGCTGTTATCTCCTCATGCTGTTATCTCCTCGTGCTGCTATCTCCTCGTGCTGTTATCTCCTCATGCTGCTGTTACCTCCTCGTGCTGTTACCTCCTCGTGCTGTTATCTCCTCATGCTGCTATCTCCTCGTGCTGTTATCTCCTCGTGCTGTTATCTCCTCGTTTTGTTATCTCCTCGTGCTGTTATCTCCTCGTGCTGTTATCTCTTCATGCTGTTATCTCCTCATGCTGTTATCTCCTCGTGCTGTTATCTCCTCATGCTGCTGTTATCTCCTCATGCTGTTATCTCCTCGTGCTGTTATCTCTTCATGCTGTTATCTCCTCATGCTGTTATCTCCTCGTGCTGTTATCTCCTCGTGCTGTTATCTCCTCGTGCTGTTATCTCCTCATGCTGTTATCTCTTCATGCTGTTATCTCCTCGTGCTGTAATCTCCTCATGCTGTTATCTCCTCGTGCTGCTATCTCCTCGTGCTGTTATCTCCTCATGCTGCTGTTACCTCCTCGTGCTGTTACCTCCTCGTGCTGTTATCTCCTCGTGCTGCTATCTCCTCGTGCTGTTATCTCCTCGTGCTGTTATCTCCTCGTGCTGTTATCTCTTCATGCTGTTATCTCCTCATGCTGTTATCTCCTCGTGTTGTTATCTCCTCGTGCTGTTATCTCCTCGTGCTGTTATCTCTTCATGCTGTTATCTCCTCATGCTGTTATCTCCTCGTGCTGTTATCTCCTCATGCTGCTGTTATCTCCTCATGCTGTTATCTCCTCGTGCTGCTATCTCCTCGTGCTGTTATCTCCTCATGCTGTTATCTCCTCGTGCTGCTATCTCCTCGTGCGGTTATCTCCTCATGCTGCTGTTACCTCCTCGTGCTGTTACCTCCTCGTGCTGCTATCTCCTCGTGCTGTTATCTCCTCGTGCTGTTATCTCCTCGTGCTGTTATCTCTTCATGCTGTTATCTCCTCATGCTGTTATCTCCTCGTGCTGTTATCTCCTCATGCTGTTATCTCCTCGTGCTGTTATCTCTTCAGGCTGTTATCTCCTCATGCTGTTATCTCCTCGTGCTGTTATCTCCTCGTGCTGTTATCTCCTCATGCTGTTATCTCTTCATGCTGTTATCTGCTCATGCTGTTATCTCCTCGTGCTGTTATCTCCTTATGCTGCTGTTATCTCCTCATGCTGTTATCTCCTCGTGCTGTTATCTCCTCGTGCTGCTATCTCCTCGTGCTGTTATCTCCTCATGCTGTTATCTCCTCGTGCTGCTATCTCCTCGTGCTGTTATCTCCTCATGCTGCTGTTACCTCCTCGTGCTGTTACCTCCTCGTGCTGTTATCTCCTCGTGCTGCTATCTCCTCGTGCTGTTATCTCCTCGTGCTGTTATCTCCTCGTGCTGTTATCTCCTCATGCTGCTGTTATCTCCTCGTGCTGTTATCTCCTCATGCTGTTATCTCCTCGTGCTGCTATCTCCTCGTGCTGTTATCTCCTCATGCTGTTATCTCCTCGTGCTGCTATCTCCTCGTGCTGTTATCTCCTCATGCTGCTGTTACCTCCTCGTGCTGTTACCTCCTCGTGCTGTTATCTCCTCGTGCTGCTATCTCCTCGTGCTGTTATCTCCTCGTGCTGTTATCTCCTCGTGCTGTTATCTCTTCATGCTGTTATCTCCTCATGCTGTTATCTCCTCGTGCTGTTATCTCCTCGTGCTGTTATCTCCTCGTGCTGTTATCTCCTCGTGCTGTTATCTCCACTCTCGCTCTCCTTTCTTCATCTGCCTGTGCCCCTCTCCCTTCCTGCCCTCCCATCCGTTCCCTGAGAGTTAGATGCTCAGAAGATACTTCTGGTATAAGCACCTATGCTGCCGTCTCACCACCCGTTGCTCCCTCTTTGGTCACTGTCTGCAACTACTTCAACCAATCTCCCCCCTTCGATCCCATTCCAGGTCCAGGTACTCCTGTCTCTCCTCCGACCCCTCCTCTTGCTCGCATACAAGTCCGGGGCACAACAACCGGTGCAGGCGTGCACTCATGGCGCCTGCCTTTCCCATTACCATTCGTCATGCCACCTCATCTCATGGTGCACTCCCCCCCCCTCCATTCCAGGTTCCCCTCTCGGCCCTCCACCCCCTCCTCTCGCTTGCACACGAGTCAGGGGCACAAGAACTGGTGCAGTCGTGCCAAGCAGCACTTGAGGCGCATAGCTCGGATTCTGAGGCGCGTAAAACTCAACCAACTCAACCAGATGCATCTGGCACAGCCCCTGGCAGATACGCTGCATCTGGACCGAGTGCTCTGGGATCCTCTGTTATAGGACCCTCCGCGCCGGGTGTCTATAGGGCTGTATCCCAGGGGGGCGACTCTGCTCTTAGTGCTACTGTTGCCGAGAGGCTCAAGTCAATCAAGTCAACCGACTCAGCCAGGTCAACGAGGTGTTCAAAGTCAACGCTGGTCAACGGGCTCGTGTGCCTCTGTTATCCAGTAGCCAGGAGCCAAGAGGAGGGAGAGAGTGGCTTGAGGCAAGCCCAGGCGCGGCTTAGGAGTGGGGATCAATCTGCGCTGCTCTCCTCACAGGACCAATGCTGGCAAGGGATGCTTGGGAAGGAGGAGAGCTGGGGTTTGAGGGAAGGGGATGGTGAAAGCTCAGGTGCATGCTCAGGTAGGTTTTCAGGTGGTAACACAGAAGCAGGTGCATCTGCAGGTGGAAGCACAAACACAGCCACAGCCACTGTTGCAACTGCAACTGCAAGTTCGATCTCGGACAAGGGAGCAGCAGGCGTCCCACTCCATGTCCTCTCGTCCGAGCGCCGCCTTTTTAGACACCTCCGTTGTGATTGCTGCGGTGGTGGCAGCAGGTCGTCAGAGACTTCAGAGCCTTCATTGGCTTCCACGGCTTCCATGTTAACTCTAAGAGCCTCACCTGCCAGCAGCACTGCCAGCCACACTGCCAGCCACGCTGCCAGCTACAGCGGCAGCTACAGTGACGTGAGCGTGCAGGCGGCCCAGCACGGCAGCACGGTGTTTCGAGCGCACCGAGTGGTGCTCTGCGCCTGGAGCACTGCTTTCCACAAGGCAAGTACTCTCTGCTTTGTGTTATATATATATATACATATATATGTATATATATGCATATATATTTGGTCTCTCTAGGAGATATTAATCTCCTTGGGGTTTTCTCATCCGCCATTATTCTATTTCTTGATTATATCTCTCAACTCCTATGCTCACCCCCGTTTGCTCTCGTCCAATCAGATGCTGACAAGTGGCATGCGGGAGGCCACATCACATGAGATTGTGATCGGAGGTGCTTCTAACGAAGCCGTCGGCGCACTCCTGCACTTCTTCTATACCGGAGAGCTTCCTACCCGCTCATCACACTCACACCCGTTACAGTCACGCATGGTGCACCCGTTACAATCACGGTCAATGTCTGCTGCAGCGTCCAAGAGCACTGAAAGCGTGCTTCTGTCTCTGCTGTGCCTGGCGGACCGCTTCTGCATCCCGGCCCTGCATCACGCTGTGAACCAACGGCTGCTCGCATGTATTGATGAGGTGAGCGATGGCTTGTAATGAGGTGTGAGACTAATAGGTGTTGCGGTGCAATCAAGAGCACTCACACTGTGCTGCCGTCTGTCGCTGCTGTGCCTGGCTGACCGTTCCTGCATCACGCTGTTTTTGAGGCGCCTCAAAAATAGGTTCCTGCATCACGCTGTTTTTGAGGCGCCTCAAAAATAGGTTCCTGCATCACGCTGTTTTTGAGGCGCCTCAAAAATAGGTTCCTGCATCACGCTGTTTTTGAGGCGCCTCAAAAATAGGTTCCTGCATCACGCTGTTTTTGAGGCACCTCAAAAATAGGTTCCTGCATCACGCTGTTTTTGAGGCGCCTCAAAAATAGGTTCCTGCATCACGCTGTGAACCAACAGTTGCTGGCATGTGTTGACGAGGTGAGATGGCTTGCAGTGAGGTGCGACGTTTAAGTTGACTCAAAAATCACCTTTTGATTTGAGTTGACTCAAAAATCACCTTTTGAGTCGACTAATAAAATCCGCTGTGAAACAGCAGCTGCTCGCATGCGTTGATGAGGTGAGGTGAGCAATGGCTGGTAATGAGGTGACGTGGCTTGGCAAGGCTGGTTTGGATGTGTTGATGTGGCGAGTTGAGTTGATAAGTTTTATTTTGGCATATAAATATTCGCCTGTTCTCCTGCTCCTTCACCCCTGCGTGCCACTCTCCCTCCAGTCCTCAGCGTTCCTCATGCCAATCTTCCCCTGGCCCCTCCCTCCCCCCACTCCCCTCTCCCTTCAATCCTCAGTCCCTCCCTCCCCCCACTCCCCTCTCCCTCCAATCCTCAGTGTTCCTCACGCCAACCTTCCCCTGCCCTTCCCTCCCTCGCTCCACTCTGCTCTGCCTCCGGCCTCAGTACTCACCACTCTTCAAGTTGCTGCATCGATCCCGGGGGAAAGCTGGTTCCCACGTCACAGACCCCTGTGATCCATCACTCTTCCCCTGCCCTTCCATCCCTCGCTTCACTCCTCTCTCTCTCCCTCCAGGCTCCACGCTGCGATTTGCTGCCCGTGTTCCGGGGAACTCCTGTGCTGCGCCCACCACCACTGCTGTTTTCTCTCCCCTCCCTTAGTCCCTTATCTCTATTTTTTGAGGCGCCTAAAAAAACTGCGCCCACCACCACAGCCGTTTTCTCTCCCCTCCCTACATCCCTGTTCTCTATTACCTATCTCCCATCACCCCCCCACTCCTCTCCCCCTCCAGGCTTCAGCATTCGCCACCCTGCGGGTTGCTGCCTCTATCCCAGGGGACACTTGCGCCCACCTGACAGCTGTCGCCGCCTCATTGGCTGCTGCTCAGTTCGAGCGGTGTGTGGCTGCTGACAGGGAGGGGTTGAGGCTGCTGCCGGCTGCTGCTCTAACAGCTGTGCTGCAGGTGAGCTGCGCTGGTGGGACAGGGGTAAGCGGATCGGTATGTGGCTGCTGACAGAGAGGGGCTGAGGCTGCTGCCTGCTGCTGCTCTAACAGCTGTGCTACAGGTGAGCTGCGCTGGTACAACAGTGGTTCACCCTTGACACTCATGGTGCACGCATGGCAGTGGGGTGCTGACGGAGAGTCGCTGAGGCTGCTGCCTGCTGCTGCTTTAGCAGCCGTGCTGCAGGTGAGCTGCGCTGGTATGACAGTGGTTCACCCCTTTTCAGTCATGGTGCACGCATGTCGGTTGTTGGAGCAATCTGTGTGGGTGCTGACAGGGATGGCTTTTGAGTCGACTCAAAAGTCACTTGGCCGGATCTGTGTGGGTGCTGACAGGGATGGCTTTTGAGTCGACTCAAAAGTCACTTGGCCGGATCTGTGTGGGTGCTGACAGGGATGGCTTTTGAGTCGACTCAAAAGTCACTTGGCCGGATCTGTGTGGGTGCTGACAGGGATGGCTTTTGAGTCGACTCAAAAGTCACTTGGCCGGATCTGTGTGGGTGCTGACAGGGATGGCTTTTGAGTCGACTCAAAAGTCACTTGGCCGGATCTGTGTGGGTGCTGACAGGGATGGGCTGACGCTGCCCCCTGCTGCTGCACCAACAGCTGTGCTGCAGGTACTTAGTCTAGTTAAGCTAGAGGTACTTAGTCTAGTTAATGTACAGGTACTTAGTCTAGTTAAGGTACAGGTACTTAGTCTAGTTAAGTTACAGGTACTTAGTATAGTTAAGGTACAGGTGCTTAGTCTAGTTAAGGTACAGGTACTTAGTCTAGTTAAGGTACAACTCTAGTTAAGGTACAGGTACGTAGTCTAGCTAAGGTACAGGTACTTAGTCTAGTTAAGCTACAGGTACGTAGTCTAGTTAAGGTACAGGTACTTAGTATAGTTACTCCAGTGCAGTGTTAAAGGCTGGTGTTCAGCCATGATGCATCACGTCCCAACTCAATTGCCCCTGTGTGTCCACACTGCCACCTGTCTGGTTACCACCTCCCATCTGGTTACCAGAGCCCCTTCTTCTGGACGACCAACGAGGAGAGAGTGCTGGATGCCGTGCTGACGTGGGCCATGCAGCGAGCTGACGTCAGCACATGGAAGGAGGCGGAGCGGGCTTTGGGGGAGGTGATGGTGAGAGAGGAGAGGGAAGAAGGGGAGGAGGAGGGAGGGAAGGAGAGAAAGCCAGAGGAGGAGGAGGTGGGGAAGGAGGAGGGGAAGGAGGAGGCGGAGCGGGCTTTGGGGGAGATGACGATGAGAGAGGAGCGGGAGGAGAGGGAAGAAGGGGAGGGATGGGAGGAGTGCAGAGGGGAAGAGAGGAGGGAGGAAAGGAGTACAGATAGGGGGGAAGAGGATATTGCAAGGCACGCCCCTTGTACTAGTGGGTGCCACGAGGACTGTAGCACTGATGAGGCGCTTTTGCATTCTGAGCTGCTCAGTCGGCTACAGCTGGAGGGAGCCGAGCCTATGCTACAGCCGCTAAGGGGGGAAGCATTATTGGAGGAAGAGGAGGACGAAGAGGAAGAGGAGGAAGAGGAGGACGAAGTTTCTGGGTTGCTGCAGCACGTGCAGTTCATGTCCCTCCCAGACACCATCCTATTCAGGCTCAGAGACAGCCTGCTTGCCACGTGGCTTCCCACCATTCGCCGATCCGTGCGTCTCCTTTCCCCGCCTTCACCATTTGCCAATGCTCTCAGTCGATCTGTTTGCGTTGGCGATGGCTTTTGAGGCGCCTCAAAAGCACTCTCCGTGCATCCCCCTTTCCCCGCCTTCACCATTTGCCAATGCTCTCAGTCGATCTGTAGGTGATTTTTGAGTCGACTCAAAAATCACCTTTGCCAATGCTCTCAGTCGATCTGTAGGTGATTTTTGAGTCGACTCAAAAATCACCTTTGCCAATGCTCTCAGTCGTTCTGTTTGTGTTGGCGATAGTTTCATACTCTATGCTTACGACGCGTCTCGAAAGTATCTCAATGTTCCTTTTTTTTTCATTTCTGTTATTTTATGCAATATTTTCAGATTCTATGCTGGGCATATGTCGCGTCACCACTCTCCACCACTCTCCATTGCCCCGTGCCCCTCCTCTGTCCCCTCTCCCTGCCCTGCATTCAGCCTGACAGGTAGATTGCCCACCGCAACTGGCACAATGCTTTTGAGTTGACCCATAAGCGAGCCTGCCTCTTGCCTCTCCTCTCCCCTCCTGTTTGCCCTGCTCTCAGGCCATCAAGGAAATTGTCCGCCGCAACCTGCACAGCCAAGCAGCCACAAGACCTCAAGCCTACCCTCCTACCCCACAAGGTCACTCCAGCCCCTTCTCTGGCTCACCACTCTCCACCGCACGGGACCACTGCTATCCACCTTTTCCATCGGAGACAAGTCATGGGTTTTCTCCCCCACCACACAGCCAGGGTTTAATTCTCCCCGTCCACAGCTCCCACCAGCCATCCGATTCCATCCAGTTAGATCTTGGCCGTCGGATCGTCCGGTTCACCTCCCCTGACCTCCCGCCCCGAGCCTGGCCGTCAGGCTCGGTGGGTGCTGTGCCGCGGGCCTGGTCCCTTGAAAGCAGTGGACGGGAGAGAGGGGGCCGGCATGATAAGGACCGTTCGAAGGAATGGGGGCGTATTGAGAAGGGAGCAGAGGGATGGGCGCGGGAGGGGACGAGAGTGAAGGGAGGGGGGCGAGATGAAGGGAGGGAGAAGCGGGAAGCGCAGATGGGATTGACGGGAGGGGCTCGTGCGTGTGCTTGTCAGGCTCAAGCGGATCTTGAAACGTTTGAGGATAGGATGCACGTGTGTGCAGATGATAGGGATGCCAGTTGCACGGCGAGAGGGAGGGAGGCTCAACCGCACACACGTGCAGCAGGACAAGAGGCCGAGGCTCGAGAATCAGCAACCAGGGAAGGTCCTGACAAGGGAGGTATTGGTCAATACGGCGCGTCTACACAGGTTACTGCGCTTGCAGGAGGGGGTTTTGTGCCGGCGCTGGGGCACGGGCGAGGAGAGAGACGTGAAGCTGGATTGCGTGGAGTGGAGGAAGGAGGGGTGGGGCAGAGAGGGGGAAGGGCGGCGTCTTATGGCGGAGGTGGTTGTGCGCGGTTGAGGGAGGGGGATAGAGAGCGAGTGATTTTTGAGTCGACTCAAAAATCGTCTAATGGCGGAGGTGGTTGTGCGCGGTTGAGGGAGGGGGATACAGAGCGAGTGGGAGAGGGAAGGCGGACGGAAGGGGGGGAGGGATGGGGAAGGGCAGCAGGGGAAGGGAACGGCGTGGAGGGAGGGGAGGAGCGGGTACTGAAGAGAAGAGGGGAAGGAGAATCGGGGGAAGTGCAAAGGCCGAAGGGGAGGGAGGCAACAGAGAGTGGATGGAAGGGGATGGGGAGCACAGGGAGAAGATTTCTGGAGGCAGAAGTATTGGAGGCATGCGGACGCATGGAGGCAAGTGGGAGTGGGCGAAGGCGAGTGGAGGGTGCCACAGTGGACGAATCAATGCGACCGTCTGGTCAGCTTTCGGTTCGCGTGACTCAGGCGCCGCCCGACCAGGTTTCTGGGTTTAGGATTTCTGCGACTGCAGATGACAGTATGGGAGGGGGTGGAGCAGAAGATAGAGAAGCAGCTGCAGGCGGGAGCGAGGAGAGGGGGGAGCGGGGCGGTATGGGAGTGGGTGCGAGGCGGACAAACCACGACAGAGCAGCAGCAGCTGCTGCAAGGGGGGAGGAGGAGGGGGAGAAGCGGGTCAATAAGAAGGGGGAGCACGAGAGAGCGGCAGCAGCTGCTGCATTTGTTGCTGCAGCAAGGAAAAGAGCAGCGGATTCTCCTGCTCCCTTGATGAAAGGGTCGCCGCCCTTGCTGCTGGCGCCAGGTTTAACCAACCCCCGCGTCCTTCAGTACATGCACGACGGGGATAAGAACGGCGTGTGTTACCATGCCGGGACGTCCTACGGGCGGCACCCTTGGATGAATCCGGTGCTGCTGGGGGTGAGTTGGTTGGTACCCCATGTGGCTTTGGGACCGAACGTGAGTGGTCTGGCTTTGAGGCGCCTCAAAACTGGTCCGTGTTTCGAATCTCCGGAATGAGCAGTGTGTGCCAGCCACCATCACCATGAAGGCACGTCGCACGGTATTTTTGAGAAATCTAAAAAATGAGCGGTGTGTGCCACCGTCACCATGAAGGCACGTCGCACGGGAGGCACCGACAACGACGATGTCTTTGAGCCTTTTCTGTATCATCGTCTTTGATTATGCTACAAGGATGTCTCGTCTTTCCTTCCTTCCGTCTCGCTTTCTCCTCCTGATGTCTATTCAACTCTCTCGTTTTTCCTCCTCTAATTTTGGGCTAATCCTCCCCCTCCGTTTCCCCACGTTCTCCTTCCTCCCCCCCTGCGCCCCCCCTTCCCCTCCCCCCAAACCATCCCAGACCCTCTCAGTGGCAGCCAGCAGCCCTCCCTCTCGCTACACCGATAGCAAGCTCATTGTGTCAGGGGATTATGTGGTGAGTGAATGCAGTTGTGCGCGGTTTAGTGTGGTGCAGTGCAGTGCAATGTGGTGCAAAAAGGTACCATGCAGTGCATGGCAGCCAGCAGCCCTCCCTCTCGCTACACCAATGGCAAGCTCATTGTGTCTGGCGATTACGTGGTGAGTGTCTGATGTGGTTGAATGCGCCCCCCTACTCCTCCGCTCTTAGTAGTACCAGGCAAAAGTTCGTCTCAGGGGAGCAAACTTCTCAAAGCACTTGTATGCCCTGCCTATATGCACTGCCCCAACAACTCATGTGGAAAGTGGACCATCTCTGCATGTGCTCTATTCTTTATGCCCCTATGCTCTGAACCTAATGCTTAAAGGCAAGGTTAAAGACGACCTTTTCTTCTTCTTCTTTACCGTAGGGTACGCTACCGAATTGTATGGTCGTATGATTCCATAAACGACGGTCAATGCTGTATATTCTGGTCTGGTTAAAACATGCGGCCGAAGTTTTCAATGAAATTGTGAAAATTACCGGTGAAATGCGCGGATCTGGCATTTTGCCCACCAAAGTGTGCCGGGTCTAGCGTTTTGGTGGACGAAATGTGTGGATCCGGCGGACGTTTAGGCTTCCCCCCCCCCGAAAAAAAGGGTTGCTAAAAGTTCCTTTGGAAAAACAGCGTGTTTTTTCCTGAATGCTTGGGAAAAACGGTCGCATTATATGACAGCCGTTTTTTTTTACCTCGCTTTCATGCTCCCAAATGTCCCCAAAATCCCCAACCCAACCCCATCAGAGCTCGTCCTTTGCTGGGCCTCGTGTGGAGGGCGGTCGCATGACTGCATGGTGGCGGATCGACCTGGGGGAGAAGCACAAGGTGAGGTCCCCGCTTTGGGTCAAGGGTTTGAGAGTGAGGCTGTCAGACTACTTATTTGGGTTTGCATGGCATGACTGATGGTGGCGGGTCGACTTGGAGGGTGTTTTTTTTTCATCGCTCCAACTCAGATCCAGGAAGCGGCTCAGGTATATGGATTAATTGCTGCCAAATACGAGGAAACTTTGTGAATGCGGCTTTTTACATGTCCAGTGAGGCACTGAGGAGATGGTGTAGCAAAATGTGGGGGGATGTAATGAGGGATAGTCCCCACGTTGCTGCACCAGTTTCTTGGTGATTCGCTAGTCTTATAAGCAACCGGGATCACACAGTCTCCTCATACTTGACAGCAATTGATTTATATACTTGAGCCGCTTCCCGAGCCTGACTTGGAGTGCTGAAAACAAATCACACATCCACAAAGCTCCCAATTTGTATTTTACCTGTTCCCAAGACTCATTAGGTCCCGTAGCCTTTTTTTCAACAGGATGTATCTGGGGGGAAAACACATGGCATGCTTTTAGTACATTAATAAGGGTTGCTTGCACTTGCATCCATCCTTTTATCATCTCTTTCCGTTCGAAGTCTTTGCCGCTCGCGTTTTCCATGGCAAATTCTTCTAGGTGTATGCATGCTTAGTTGTATAGTACATGTGTGCATATGTGTTATGTGTATATTCATGGTTACAGTTTGTGAATATATGTGTGTGTATGTGAGTTTGCACATGGTCAACACCCTCTCGTCTCACTCATTTCCCCCATATTCCCCTCACCACCTCAGCTTCTCTGCAACTTCGACACGGTCCGGCAGGAGAGCAGCCCCAACTACATGCACCACTACATTCTCCACTTCTGCCCTCCTTGTGGCACTCATTTCCCCCATTCCCCACACCCCTTCTCCTCCCCCTCTTCCCCCTTCAGCTCCTCTGCAACTTCTACACAGTCCGGCAGGACGGCAGCCCCAACTACATGCGCTCCTGGTGCCTTGAGGTGGGTGCCTTTGCTGATGTGATACAAGAGTGTGATGCAAGAGTGTGATACAAAGGAGGTGATGCAAGAGTGTGATACAAAGGAGGTGATGCAAGAGTGTGATACAAAGGAGGTGATGCAAGAGTGTGATACAAAAGAGGTGATGCAAGAGTGTGATACAAAGGAGGTGATGCAAGAGTGTGATACAAAGGAGGTGATGCAAGAGGGTGATACAAAGGAGGTGATGCAAGAGGGTGATACAAAGGAGGTGATGCAAGAGGGTGATACAAAGGAGGTGATGCAAGAGTGTGATACAAAGGAGGTGATGCAAGAGGGTCCGATGTACCATGCGCTCCTGGTGCCTCAATGTGAGTACCTTGGTTGGTGTGACTGTTTAAAGTTTGTGTGGCACTAAAGGGTGTGCTATGCACGTCACGGACATTAATGCCCTCCTTGGAGCACTCACTCATCTCCAACTCTTCCCCTTCTCCCTCAACTTTGCCGCCCCTTTTCCAACCCCAGGCTTCCAACAACGGATCTGATTGGACAAACCTCCGGCTCCACTCAGATGACACCTCCCTGTGCCGCCCGGGGCAGTATGCGTCCTGGCCAGTCGACACCTGTGCCAGACCAACTGCTAAACCGTGCAATGTGATTGGTCCGGCTAGATTCTTCCGGATTCGCCTTGTGGGCCCCACAAGTGCAAAGCAGAACGCTTGGAACCTGTGCCTGTGTGGCATCGAGCTGTATGGATTCTTCTTCTGATGTCACATGGAATGTGTACAGTACGTACTCTCTCGAGTACAGTACAGTGCTAATGCTGGTTCTTTCAAAGCTACTCAAGGTCATTCGCACACGCCACCCTGAAATGAGCAGACAGACTGCCTCTCACTTGGTTCGTATACTGGGGGTTGTGAGAAGCAATCATCCGCAAATCATATCCGAACTGCCAGGTAAGCAAAGCCTCGTCATGGCCCATACATACACCTCAAGTTGCATCACAGGGGCGTGCCCTTGCTTCAAGAGACACAGTGAGCACCAAGAGGGTTTATAGTTCGCATATTGGGTACTAAGAGGTGTACACATGTGCACTGCCATGTTATAGGGTATACTGGGCTCGCAACATTCAGCACCAGCAGAAGTAATGATGAATCTCTATGATAGGTCTTGTTACAGGCCACTTTACAGGCCACACGTTACAGGCTATGTTAGAAACACTAAGAGGGATAGTTAGGCCTCATCACGTCGGTTCGGTGGCTGTCAGCCCTGCTGCCAGCCACTGCCGCTGCTACTTCTGACAAAATTTGCCGCAGGCTGCTACCTTTTGCTTCTGCCACTGCTGCTGCTGGTTCTCTGGCTGCAGTTGCTGAGTGCTGCTCTTGAACCCGCCCTTCACCAGCAGAAGAGTCCTCTACCTGTCCCACCAGGTTCGCCCACCCCACTCCCCCCCCCCTTTTCACTGCATTATCCACCACCCTTTGAAGCTCGGGGGTGTCTTGGTGGTGAGGTGAGTCTGAGAAACTCAGCAGGTGGGACTCGCAGCACGGCAAGCATTGCAGAGAGGTGTTGTGGCCAGACTTCAGAAGCGAGCCGACTCTGAGTTGACCCTTTAAGATGGTAACGCCACAGCAGCCAAGCAGGCAGCAGCAGAGGAGACAGCAGCTGAGCACACAGAGAGTAGCCGCACGCCACCCGAGTCGACTCGAGCATCAGTAGGATGGCCAAGAGCCCACAGCATCACTCAAACGCCCCCTCCCCCGTGGCAAAGGCACTGGCGATCAAACCCTCCTTCACACTGCAGCTGGCCTTCTCCCTTGTTACCAGCAAGTTACTCAAACACCCTCTCCCCCGTGGCGAAGGCATCGAAGATCAACGCACTGACCACACAGAGGGAAGCCGGTGTGAAGAACACCCACCACCACCCAGGGTCAATCCCCCCTCCCCCTCCTCCTCCTACTCCGCCTCCCCCACCACTCAACCCCCCCACTCCCCCCTCCCCCCCACCACTCCCCCCCCCACCCGCCCCATCACCCCCTGAAAACGCCTCGAGAATCAGCCCAGAAGCTGCCACCCCAACCACCCCTGCCATGGTGCCAGCAGTGTTCGATACACCCATCACCACCCCTGCGAACCGAGGCGCTATATCCATGTGGTTGACTGCAAACCCTGCTCGGGCAATCGCACACGCGCCTAGGGTTAGAGACGAGCAGAGCACTGCGCCGTTGACGGATTTAAGGACGGGGGTTAGGGCTAGGGCGACTGCTGAGGCAAAGAAGCCTATAGTGTTGAGGACCTTTCTTGTACCCCCTACAGTCAGGTACCGTTTTGCGATTAAGTGATCGGCGAGTACACCCCCGATATTGGAAAACAGAGTCATGATATAGTATGGCATGGCTTTACCGGACCCTACGTTGTGCAGGCTGGTGTTTAGGGCTTGGTGGAAGTAAGTAGGGAGCCAGTTCATAAGAACATATAGCGCGTAGTGGAAGGTGAAGTTATTGGCTACTATGGCCCACACCGGCGCGCTCATGAGGATCGGTACCCAGGGAATAGGAGGGTCTTTAGCCATGGATGGCTTGTAGGACGTCTTGAGGTGTTTAGGCGTTGAGGTGAACTCCTCTCCCAGTCTCTTTAGCCGCTGAAGCTCCTCCTCTCTTCCCCCCATTCCCCCTGAACCCGACGCTGAAACTGCACTTGATGGGGATTTAATTCCCCCCATGCTTGCTCCGCCCACTCCCCCAGCCTTCCCAGCTTCCCCTCCCCTCACTCCCCCTCCCCCTCCGCCTCCGCCTCCTGCCCCTCCGCCATTTCCCACACTGCCTCCCCCCCCTGTTCCTCCTCCTATTCTGTGCACTACTTCTGTCTCCAACCCTGTCCCCCCTCCCCTCCCCCTGTCGTCCTCCCCATTCACCAGCGGAAGCAGCTCCCCCTCGCTCCCCTTGTGCCCCCCCATGCCCCCCCCTACCGGCACATGAGCAAACGCCGTAGGCCCCCCCGGGGGGTCTGATGCGTACTTAACCCATAGAATAGTCCACGCGACGCCCATAGCGGCTACTAACTGGAACACCGACTCGGGGCCTCTAGAGGCTACTAATCCGGGTAAGATCTGCATAGCTATGCCGGCTCCTAGGTACATTCCGGACATTGATAAACTAACCGCGCGCGATTTCTCATGGGGAGGCGTCCATTGAGCTAGAACAGTGTGTATCGCGGGGAAAATGAATCCCTGTGCGATGCCTACTAGCAGGCGGATTACAACGAGCGTGACTGTATTGGGGCCGCTGCCTGTACTGTCAGGGGGTGACTCGGTGGGCGTGAGGACGCATAAAACGGACCAGGCTACAAACGAGTACGTGAGGACGCGTCTACCGCCATACTTTTGGGACGCCCAACTGCCGGGAACCTGGGAGGGAGTGCAAGAGGGGCGAAGAGGAAAGGATGGGAAACATGAGATTGCAGGCGAGTAGCAGGTATGCTACCAACGAGTATGTAAGGGGGGGTGCCTGCCACCATCATTTTGAGAAGCCCAACTGCCAGGGGCCTGAGAAGAGTGCGAGAGGGATCAAGGGGAGGAGAGAGGGTGGAATGGGAAACAAGAGGGCGGTGGTGAGCAACGAACAGGCAGGCGAGAAGGCGGCAGTAGGTTTGGGGAAAGAGAGAGAGAGAGATTGCATGCTTCGAGGCGACGTATATCGTGAGTGAGAGGGTGAGATGAGAGGTGGGGAGAAGGAGGAGATAAGAGAGCGGACAGGGAGAAGAGAGAAGGGAGAAGAGAGAAGGGAGCGCGAGGAAGGAAACGAGGGCGCGCTTGAGGTTAAACAAGGGAGTTCGCTTGAGGTTAAACAAGGGAGTTCGCTTGCAATTTTGACTTGTTTCCAAATTCACATGCCTGTGAGGAGGCATATCTGTAGTGAATGGTTTTTTAGAATTCTAAAACATCACCTGACTCCAAATTCACCTGACTCCAAATTCACCTGACTCCAAATTCACCTGACTCCAAATTCACCTGACTCCAAATTCACCTGCCTGTGAGTTAGCATATCTGTGGCAAAAGGGGGAAACGTGTTGAGGCGCATAAAAAGTGAGCGGTGTGTTAGGTGAAGTAGGGAGGTTTTTTAGTCGACTCAAAAGGTGAAGTAGGGAGGCTTTTGACTCAAAAGGTGAAGTAGGGAGGCTTACCTGCGAGGAGGCTTACCTGCATGGAGGCTTACCTGCGTGGAGGCTTACCTGCGTGGAGGCTTACCTGCGAGGAGGCTTACCTGCGAGGAGCTCACCTGCGAGGAGGCTTCCCTGCGTGGAGGCTTACCTGCGAGGAGGCTTACCTGCGAGGAGGCTCACCTGCGAGGAGGCTTACCTGCGTGGAGGCTCACCTGCGAGGAGGCTCACCTGCGAGGAGGCTCACCTGCGAGGAAGCTCACCTGCGAGGAAGCTCACCCGCGAGGAAGCTCACCTGCGAGGAGGCATATCCGTAGTAAAAGGCCGACATGACCCATCCTTTCGTCGCCTGATCCACGCCTTCCCGGATCGCGATGGCGGTGTACGCGATAGAGAAGCCCACGCGTTCGATATAGCACACGGCGGAGCACACTAGCGTGAGCAGCACGATGACGTAGCGTTGCGGGAGGATGAGGTGGAACAACGCCGCCGTGCTGCCGCTGCTCGTGATGCCGGGGATGTTCACGATACTGCCCATGCCGGACCCGTTATAATCCGCCGCTTAACGAGTCCGGTTTTCCGATAAAATAGTTATTGTGGGGGAGTTTTGGAAGGAGACCAAGAGAGCGGCTGGCGAACGCTTGTATCTGCTGCAAGTAGCGGGGCACTGATAATGAGTCCACGCATATCGCGGACGAAATACTGCCAAATTCAGCTGGATTCACCAGTCGAAAACGTGAAGAGGTTGTAACTGTTGAGAGGAACGCACGCAATTCGCTGATTTCCCGGGGGGGCTTAGTTTGGACTTGAAAGAGAGAGTGACTGCTCGCACTTGAGGAGGCGGAGGCGACGCTACTTAGGCAGTCACTGCACCGTCACACGGCTTCAGTCACCTCAAGGGCTCTCATCACAGCGACACGCAGCTTCCGGCTCTGTTCTAAGGCGGCCCTTCTGGAGACACTGCTGGGCCCTCGCCGGCAGGTGATTTTTTAGTCGACTCAAAAACCACAGCGGCACGCAGCTTCCTTGGTACTGTTGACACTACTCCTTGGTTCTAAGAGGGCCCTGCTAAAGACACTACTAGGCCCTGGCCGGCAGGTCCTTGTTCAAGGCTAGCAATCATCAGTGGTAGGATGTGAAATCTCGGCGATCTCGCTAGCCAGCAGTTGCTCTGAGGGGTCCTTGACGGACGATGGCGATGCGGATGTTGCACGGCTCTGCAGTGTTTCCCAGGATCCTCCGAATTGAGTACTCCCCCCGGAAAGTACCAGAAAAAGGTATGTCAGGAAGAGTTCCAGAGACACGGTAGAGGCATATATAAACTGGCCATTTTTGGACTAGCCAGCATCCAAGGGAATATTTCAAATTCTCCTCTCCCAGGGCGTGGCCAAGAATACCTCCCCTCCCTAATACAATTACTACGGGGCAGTACGGTGCCAACTTATTAGGAAACGGTTCAGATATGCAAAATGCACATCAAGCCCCCAACAACCAACGCCAGACCGACCATGGAGTTCCCATATTCTTGGGAATGCCGAGCCTGGCTGCTGCTTTAGTGGCAGCCGAAAAAGCACGCCACGTGGATAAAATACTGATAGGCGACACCGAAGTGTCGCATCGGATCGCAAGGGCTCGGTGAAGGTGACGGCCAGCACCTTTCGCACATCCAGGTCTACCCTCAGGTGACGTGAAAATCTGCGGCGTCGCAGGAGTTTTGGCGTTACGGACATCCTCATTTTCATGGATGTTATGAATAAATCAGAGTAATAACAGGTAGTGTAATAAAGGAGTCTTGATTCAAGAGTGTCGATACAAATGAGGGCTTAGGCATTTATAGGCACAAACAGATCTAGCCGAGAACCATGCGAACAGGTTGGGGCGGTCCGGTTGGCGAAAGCTACGGAAGCGTCGTGCGTCTAGGTTTGGGTTCGCGAAGTGGTTCAGGACCGAAGAAGTTGGCTGGGCCTGGACTTCCGAGAGTCGAGGGCGTACGCGCTATAGTCGAAACCAGTAAGGAAAGGAGAATTTCCTTATACCACCCCCCCTTCCGAGATGAGACTACCCACATCCGGGACACGTCGTCGGTATACATAGTCCCGGACAACTCTGTTTTCACCGAGCGTGGCTGCGGGAACCCAGAGATCGTCGTCACTGATGCGACCGACCCAGCGTACAAGGAAATCGATGGCTGCTGTGTCTCGATGTCCCCGTACACGATGAACAAGGATCTTGGACAGTGCTGCCGTCGGCTTGGGTACTGGGTTGACCGTAGGATTAATATGTTGACGGTCGAGATTGGTCGCACTCGGGACGAACGGTCGCAGGAGACTGACGTGGAACGAATCGTGAATTCGCCCGTCGTTCGGCAGCTGCAGATGGGCGATGACTGGTGTCACCATGCAGATGATGCGGAAGGGTCCGCAAAATCTTGGTCGTAATTTATTTGGGAGGGGGATTCCCAAATTCCTGGTGTCGAGCAGGACCGATTGCCCAAGGACAAGTGTTAAATCTCGGCGTCGTCGGTCAGCTTGCTGCTTAGCCCTCTGGTTGGCTTTTAGGATGGCATCGGCGGCTTTTTGCTGAGACTGTCGGAGACTTTCGACGAATTGCTGAGACCTTGGTGCCGAATTTTCTATCGGTTGTGATAGAGGGGTTGTCGGAACTATCCCGTAATTAAGGAAGAACGGGGACTAAGTAGTCGTGGCCGATGGGGCATTATCCTACGCAAACTCGATCAAGGGAAGGGCGTCTTCCCATTAGGTCGGGTCTGTGCATGTCGTGCGAATCAGCTGCTCCATCATCTAGCTGGTGCGCTCAGTCTGACCGTCCGATTGCGGGTGGTACACCGTAGATAGATGCAGACGTGTGCCGTACTGCTGCCAGGTTTTTGTCCAATAAGTTGGACGTAAACCGTGGGTCACGATCGCTGATGATTGCCGATGGGATGCCGTGTAGCCGCACGATGTTCGTGAGGATTAGTTTCGCTGTCTGCTTGGCAGTAATTGTCGTTTTGCAGGCAGCAAAATGGGTCGTTTTCGTCAACCAGTCAACGACGACGAGGATCACGTCATTACCGCTTGAACCAGCTGGCAGGCAAGTGACAAAGTCCATCATCACTTGTTGCCAAGGTCGACAGGGTGGCTCGAGCGGCTGCAGCAATCCAGCAGGTCGAAGTCGGGAAGACTTCATGCGTTGACACGTGGCGCAGGAGGTGACGTACTGCTGCGCGTCTTTCGGTAGGTCGGGCCAGTAATGATTACGACTCCGTAATTTTGCGGTTTTGTCGATGTCGTAGTGACCCGAGAAACTCGGGGCATGTGCCTCCTGGATCAGTAATTCCCGAAGGGTATGGTAGGCAAGGATCCAAATCCGATTGGTACCGGATTTTAGATAATAGGCCCCTTGTTTGACCATCAGTTGGGGATGACTGTTAGTGGTGAAGAATGGGTCAGTACTGTACCCGCGGGTGAATAGGTCAGTTAGCAACGGATTAGCTTGGGTAATTAGGACTGCGGCGGTGTGGACCGAGGGGCGGGTCAATGCGTCGGCGATGTTTATGACCCCTCACTTGTAGATGACTCTGTAGTGGAAATTGGAATCGAGGTAGTCGGGGATTCAGTGTCGGTTGGGCGCGGATGAATACTAGCGAATTGTGGTCTGTTCGGACTGTTACATCGGCGCTCGTCAGGTAGCACCCAGACTTTGAAAGCGTGAACGATGGCGAGTAACTCCTTGTCGTGGACAGGATAATTTCGCTCGGCCGGGTTCAGATTTCGTGACTCGTAGGCGATCGGTTGTAGGCCTTCGCCGAAGTCTTGTAACAAGACTGCGCCAACGGCCAAATCGCTAGCGTCGATGATGAGCTCGAATGGACGGTGGGAATCTGCAATCCGAAGAACTGGCGGTATAGTCAGGAAAATTTTGAGCTTTTCGAACGCAGCCTGCTGCTCTCCCCCCCCACTCAAAAAACGTGCCCTTCTTCAGGAGGTCCGTGAGAGGGGAGTTACCCCCGCCATGTTCGGAATGAAACGGCGGACGCAATTAACAAACCCCAGAAAACTCTGAAATTTACGGAGATTAGCCAGTGGCTTCCAGTCTTAGATTGTCGCGATGTTCTTGGGGTCGATTTTAACACCGTCGATGGAAATCACGTGACCCAAGAACTCCAGTTCGTGTTTAAAAAGCTCGCACTTAGAGCCCTTGGTGATGAGCCGGTTCTGCTACAAGAGAGAGAGAGAAAACTGCTTCCAAATCCTTCAAATGCTGCTCCCTTGTTGTGCTGTAGACGAGGATGTCGTCGAGGTACACGATGACGCATTTATCCAGCAGTGGCTGAAAATTTTCGTTCATGGTCAACTGGAATGTCGAAGGAGCGTTTGTTAAGCCGAAGGGCATGACCGTGTACTCGTAACTCCCGTACCGGGTTCGAAACGCCGTCTTGTAGCAGTCAGCTTTGTGCACTCGAAGTTGGTGGTAACTGCCTCGCAGGTCAATCTTCGAGAAAAATCTGGCCCCGCGAAGTTGGTCGATAAGTTCGTCTACACGTGGAATGGGGTAGCGAGACTTGATGGTAACCCGATTCAAGGCGCGGTAGTCGATACACATACGTAGACCGCCATACTGTATCTTTTCGGAGTGAAAAGGATCGGAGCTACAAATGGTGATGTGCTCGGGCGGACAAAACCTTTCTCGAGCAGGTAGTCCAGCTGGCGTCGAAGTTCAACTAACTCAGGCTGAGTTAGCCGCCATTGGGTCTGAATAGTAGGCTGCGCGCCGCGTTCGAGCTCGATTTTGTGGTCATGCGACCGCTGAGGTGGCAAGCTCGCTGGTAGGTCGTCTGGAAAAATTACGGCGTGCTTCCGAATCACTGTTGCCAAATCATCCGGTACAGCTGCGCAGAGTTTGTCAATGTCGGTCGGCGTGTCGACAGCCATTGATGCGATCCATCGGACGACATACAGTTGCTCTCCTCGAATCATTGCGTGCTTTATAGTCACTGTGCTGACCGTCAATGTTGTCGAGTCTTGACTGCTCCACTTGGGTAGTCGTCGCCACTCGCCACTCCACTTTATGCGACAATCATCCGTCCGCCAGTCGATGCTCGGGTTGTATTCGCACAACCAATCGCGTCCCATCAGCATGTCGCACCCGTCCAAAGTTGTCGCCAGCATCTTCGTCGTGAAACTGAAGTTTTCGCTACAGGTCACTCGCACGTGAGGCACACGCTCCCGAATCGCCAGTGGAGTATCGTCAACCAACGTCTCGTCGATTTTGGGCATGGAGCGCTCCAGCTGCAATCAGACTTTCTTCGCCTTTGTCACATCCATCAAACTGTGGCTTGCCCCACCATCAATAAATATTTTGATGCAGGTGTCGCCAACTCTTCCTTCGACCAGCACAGGGCGATCAACCGGTTCACCCCCCTTATTCAGCTAGGAATGGTAGATAGTCCAAATCGGCACTATAACTTGGTGCGGGTGTTGGCGTTTAGGCGACGTAGTCAAGTCAGTAGGTGGCTCATCTGCTACTGACGATCTCCATTTCCCGACTCCTTCCCGTCGTTAGCTAAGTTCTTCTTCAGCTGCGGTATTCCCTCACTATGTGGCTCGGCTGGTTGCAGTGGAAACAACATCCGGAAAATACCCGGGCTGCAAACACGTCCACGCCGTTGATTGATGTGTGTTGGGGCTGTCCTCGAAAGCGATTTCCCTCCCGGAAACCCGCCCTCGCGAGTCCATGCCTCGCGTCCAGCGCATCCGCGATTCGGACAATTTCGTTGAATGTTGCCGGGGCTCGCAGAACGATCTCTTGCTAAATCTCTGGCTTGAGACAACCCACGTAGCGATCGATCTTCTCGTCTTCGCTAAGCCCTCCGATTTGATCGCATGGCGCCAAGAACGAAGCCGTGTATTCGTGGACAGAGGCGAACTATCTCCACATCCGAAGCCTTGTGCGAGCATTTTCGCGCATGGATATGTGCTTGAATCGGTTCTTCAATGCTCCGCCCCACGCTTTCGACGTGCGGATCGTGGCCTACCCAAAGATCGGTTCTGCTTGAGCCGTTGATTAACCGTGCTCCCCATCTACCGCCCGCTGATTCCCTGCCGGGGCTCCTCCCTCGTCTAGATGCATGCGCCACCAGTCGAGTGCCGGTCCCCTCAGCAACGATACAGCCAAGTTGTCACGTGACGGGTTGTCATTAATACTTGCTGCTGTGAAGAAGATTTCCATGGCGAACAGCCAACCGCTCATTGTAGTTGTTCTGTCGGTCGGGTTGAACGGCGGTGGCATCGGAGGTTTGATTTTAATGGCCGCCCGCGGCTCGCTGTGGACTTCTTCAACTGCTTCAGGTGTCATCGACGCCCTTGCTTCGCTCGCAGCATCTTCGTCTCGGGTAACAGGCCGCCCCTGACGCGTTTCACCCCGCGTCTGGAGAAGCGACAAGTTTTCGTTGCGCAGCGTCTGCACTTCGCTTCCCAGCGACTCGAAATTATCGGCGAGTTGTTAAAGTTGGGCCTGCAGTGTCGTTACTGTAGCCGCCCTGGCTTGCAGCTCGTCAAACTCCTCCTGAGTCACGTTCCTAACACTACGACGGGTAGAGCTTTCCGGCGTGATAGATATGCTGTAAAATTTACCTGACAGATCTGAGGGTGCACACGCTTCTAGCTGGAGGAGCTTTAACGAGCTCACCTACCAACCGCAGGTCAACCCTCTATTCTGTCGGGTCCTCTCCCGATATAAACGGACTACTCTACGGAAGACTAAGCGGGCAGGAACGGAGCTCTGATACCAGCTGTTATGAATTAATCAGAGTAATAACATGTAGTGTAATCAAGGAGTCTTGATTCAAGAGTGTCGATACAAATGAGGGCCTACGCAATTATAGGCACGAACAGAGCTAGCCGAGAACCACGCGAACAGGTTGGGGCGGTCCGGTTGGCGAAAGCTATGGAAGCGCCGCGCGTCTAGGTTTGGGTTCGCGAAGTGGTTCGGGACCGAAGAAGTTGGCCGGGCCCGGACTTCCGAGAGTCGAGGGCGTACGCGCTGTAGTCGAGCCCAGTAAGGAGAAGGGAATTTCCTTACAATGTAGTCGTCACGTGACGCCCGCAGGTAGTTTCATCTATGGATCAATGCTGGGTACAATGAAGCTTAACGACATACAACATAAGGAAATATAGAATCGTCTGCCTAGTACCAATCAACATATTCGCCTTCAGCTTTGGGCCTTCTCTTTGCTCGTGGCCGGCGATTGTTATCATACGAGGCTTTTGCTATGTAGGCCTGTATATCAAAAGCTCCTTCTTGCAGGGGTACCATTCCATCAATAATCCTGCGCCATAAAAAGGGAGGGGGCAATGCAAGATTTTGGGTAAGGTGAATTATTAACAAGGAGGAAGTGTGGGCTCATTGGAGTATGTGGGGAAGAGCATGAGAGACGAGACTGCATACATGGCAATCAGCATCAATGGCACGTACCCTTGCAGCTTATCAGTTAATTCAGCATGTTGATCAGATGTTACGTAGTGTATACAGAGCTCAGGGCACTGTCCCACCGCAAGGTTGACACAGTACCGAGCCCAGTCCTTGGTCTCCCCTCCCACTGACCATCCTGCACAGAGGCAATGTGATTATAATGAAGGCAGTATATATAACAGATGACTTCAGCTGAACAGTTGATGAAAGACAACAATGCCATCTTTGAAACCATTTACTTCCAAGATCTAAAACACATTTCAGGCTGCAAATTTCACATTTCAGGCTGCAAGTTACACAGCAGTGATTAACTATGGAAGGCACGGAGAGCGGTGACACGGACAGCACTTGCTTCGAAACAGTGTGTAATGAGTCGACTCAAAAATCGACTCATTACGTTAAGATGCATGCCAGCACCCACCTTGGAACGCGTTGGGAGACATGGCCCGGGCTCGTGCAGTGTCCTCCGCATAGGAGAAGAGGAAGGGAGCGGTCACTATGCAGCTGGAGCGACAGGCTGAAGGGTGGGGGCGGGTGGGGGAAGGGGGGAGAGAGGACAAGGAGAGGCATGGGGTTGCAGTGTCATCCGCATAGGAGAAGAGGAAGGGAGCCGTCACTATGCAGAGCGAGTGTAACAGAGCCAGGAAAAGGGAGGGGGGGTGTCAAGATACACGCTGGGGTTGCCCTTGGTCCTTGGGGAAGGGTGACAGGTGCAGAGCCTCGGGGGTTACGGGCGCACCTACCTGCTACATAACAAGCCCCATTAGCTCAGTGGTAACTGACTGAGTTCTGATATGGTATCAGAGCAGGGTGACCCGGGTTCAATTCCCAGTGTGCACCAGAGAGGTGACGGCGCTGCAGAGGTGCTTGTGTCTTCCGCCTATCCCAGCGAGGGGGGGGTGTCCAGATACACGCTGGGGTTGCCCTTGGTCCTCGGGGAAGGGTCACAGGTGCAGAGCCTGGGGGGTTATGAGCGCACTTACCCGCTACTCAACAAGCCCTTCTAACTCAGTGGTTAGTGACTGAATTCTGACAGGGGGTTGGGGAGAAGGGACGTGAAGGGGAGTCACAGCATGCGGCTTTGCAATGTCAACGAATCTCAGTCACGTACACTGAGAAGAGGCAAGGCATCTGGGTTGACCTACATTGACCAAGTCAGCGGATCGCGTTGACCTACATTGACCAAGGCAGCGGATCGCGTTGACCTACATTAACCAAGGCAGCGGATCTCGTTGACCTACATTGACCAAGGCAGCGGATCTCGTTGACCCAGGGCCAGAGATCGCCATCCTCCTCGTCTTCCTCTTCATCGTCAATCCAGCCACCCCCGGACCCACTGCTGCGCCATCTGTCGACATAGATTCAGACATGTAAGCATGTTGCACACGCGCATGAAGATGCATTCAAGAGCATAAGACATTATGGAAATCCACACATGCACATAGGCACATGCATACGCACATACACATGCACATCGGCACATGCATACGCACATACACATGCACATCGGCACATGCATACGCGCATGCATATAGGCACATGCATACACCAATACACATGCATGCATGCACGTAGACATAAACCAAACGCAAGGACAGAACAGGATGTGCTGCATGCATGCATGCATGTGCCTATGCACGAACACAATGACAAAGTCGCGCAACGTGGGTCAAGTGGAGCTCGTTATACACCTACCTTCTGCCCTTGGGATTCTCTGCCTCCTCTAGAAGCAACTGCAGGATTAGGAAGGTGGGAGATGGATGGAGATGGGAGGTGGAAGGAGACGGGAGGTGGGAAGGAGACGGGAGGTGGGAAGGAGACGGGAGGTGGAAGGAGACGGGAGGTGGGAAGGAGACGGGAGGTGGAAGGAGACGGGAGGTGGAAGGAGACGGGAGGTGGAAGGAGACGGGAGGTGGAAGGAGACGGGAGGTGGAAGGAGACGGGAGGTGGGAAGGAGACGGGAGGTGGAAGGAGACGGGAGGTGGGAAGGAGACGGGAGGTGGAAGGAGACGGGAGGTGGAAGGAGACGGGAGGTGGAAGGAGACGGGAGGTGGAAGGAGACGGGAGGTGGAAGGAGACGGGAGGTGGAAGGAGACGGGAGGTGGAAGGAGACGGGAGGTGGAAGGAGACGGGAGGTGGAAGGAGACGGGAGGTGGAAGGAGACGGGAGGTGGAAAGAGACGGGAGGTGGAAGGAGACGGGAGGTGGAAGGAGACGGGAGGTGGAAGGAGACGGGAGGTGGAAGGAGACGGGAGGTGGAAGGAGACGGGAGGTGGGAAGGAGACGGGAGGTGGAAGGAGACGGGAGGTGGGAAGGAGAGGGGAGGAAGCTTGGGGGATGATGAGAGGGAGTTAAGAGGGTCCACAGGGTAAGATCGGCAAGAGGGTTTCAGAGCGATGCATGAGGGTTACAGAGCGACGTATGAGGGTTACAGAGCGATGCATGAGGGTTACAGAGCGATGCAAGAGGGTTTCAGAGCGATGTATGAGGGTTACAGAGCGACGTATGAGGGTTACAGAGCGATGCATGAGGGTTACAGAGCGATGCATGAGGGTTACAGAGCGATGCATGAGGGTTACAGAGCGATGCATGAGGGTTACAGAGCGGTGAAAGGGGGGTGGGTGAACAGGAGAGTGAGTGAGTGAATGAGGGAAGAGAGGCAGGGGCGGGAGGGGGAAGGGACCCTTGAAACGGTTGGTGGTGGGGAGCAAGATCCACCTCGTACGCGAAAACGAGGTCGTTTTTTAGGCGCCTCAAGAATAGTCTCCTTACGAGGTTCACCTCGTATGCGAAAACGAGCCTGGTTGAAATTAGCTGTGCGTTAGCCTCCGCTCGCTACGACAAAAACCGAGGGGCGCTGAGAGCCAGGAGGGACGCTCTTGCCCTAGCGTGCTGCACCTGATTCTTTATCTAGTTCCAGGACCGTGTCAAAGAGACTGGGGCGAGGGGAAGGCGGGAGGGGGGGGGGGAGAGGGCTGCTCACCTCGTATGCGGGCACGAGCTGGGTGGAGATCTGCTGAGCATCCAGGGCCCCTCGGTATGGACACTCTTGCCCTAGCCAGTGGCGGACGCTCTTGCCCTAGCGAGTGGCACCTTTCTATCTTATTGAGGGACCATTATAGAGAGATGGCCGGGTGTAGGGGGGTGGGGGGTGGGGGGTGGGGAGGGAAGGCAGGGGCTGCTCACCTCGTATGCGAGCACGAGCCTGGTTGTGATCTCCTGAGCATCCATCTCCCCTCGGTACACGTCAGGATGGACGTTCTTGATCTGTCGAGGGCCGTAGGGTTGAAACCAAAAGGGAAGAGAAAATACGAGGATGGAAATTAGAAAGCATGCTTTCCGATGGACGATCTCAGAGGAGAAATACGAAAATGGAAATTTTGAGGCGCCTCAAAAATAGACTCCGAAAGCATGCTTTCCGATGGACGATCTCAGAGGAGGGCTGGCAGGAGCCTGTTGGTGATCTCCTGAGCGTCCAGCTCTCCTCGGTACACGTCAGCATGCACGTTCTTGATTTTTAGTCGACTCAAAAGTCAGCTCTCCTCGGTACACGTCAGCATGCACGTTCTTGATCTGATGCGGGTTACACCACAGCAGCCAATGACGGGTCAACGGGTCCAAAAGCATGGGAATTGCACTTTGAACCATCCAAAACGGCCATCCCTTCGGTACAGACAGGTCAGGATGGGTACAGACAGGTCAGGATGGGCGTTCTTCATCCGCCACGCGCACAGCAGCCAGTGGCGCGTCACGGGGCTGGAAATCGGTGTGGACGGTGTGGACGCATAAGAAGCATTTCAAACGCTACAAGTTGCCAGTAGGTGATGCTTTAGTCGACTCAAAAATCACTCACGGGGCTGGAAAGCGGTGTGGACGGTGTGGACGGAGACTAGCATATGAAGCATTTCAAACGCTACAAGTTGTGAGGAGACAGAAGAGTATGCATCAGAAGGACCCCGGAAAGTGCACAAATGGATTCGTCACCTAGTGCCACGTCACCTGCCTTGGTTCGGAACGCGGCTTTAATCTCCTCGGCGGTCGACCCCTCTGCGACGCCCAGCAGCTCCCACGGGTCCGTCCGCGTCATCCAATCGGTGTCCACGTCACCTCTGCCGGCGCTCCCGCCGCCGCGACTCGCGCGGCATTCTGTCACTCGGCGTGCGACGCGCCGAGAACGGCATTGACCGAACGGCACTCGTAACGCCGGTGAATGCGCAGAGAAGGACGAAACTCGCGGTTCAGACTGCGAAATCGGTGAGGTTATTCGACATTGGGATCCTCGACTGCAGTATAGAGCTGACGAGGCGACCCGGGGTCGACGAATTACGAATCTCGCCCTGAGAGCGGACGATTGCACGGCGCTCATCGCACAAGGAGGTTTCGCACGAGCGACGCGTCCTGGAAGCTCAGTGCGAGCGTGGTGAATAACTCAACTCGCAAGAGCAGACTATAGGATGTGCTTTTAGGAACTAGAGTTTATGAGACCAGAATGGAGAGGACGTCGGGGAACTCCCAATGGTGGATGCATTTCGGAATCTAAGGTTAAAAACATTGGTGTTGACGCGCCGCGCAGCTTGTAACGAAGATGGCGACCGCATTGTGTGCGGTTACAACTTGTAAGATGTTCATGAACAAGCCCTAATCCTCGACATGGAGAAGGTGCAATAGCGGTAATCGTTGCGACCGAAAGGCCGACATTCATAGCTTCTAAACATGGACAAAGTAGTTCTGGCTGCTTCTATCGGGATCAGCCGTCATAACGCAAATCCCAGAAAGCTCTCCCAAGTCCAACCAGATCCTGTAGTCCCGTCTCCTGTCTAAAGAAGATTTCGTTATGCGTTACAAGCAGGATTACGTAGTTGACATGCACCTAAACAATTTCAATTTCTACATTTGTTGAATTCGCGAACTTTTCCTCGCTTCGGTTTCTCCACCTCCTCCCCAGCTACCCTCTGAAAACCCTAGCTCGGCTCCATTCCTCCTTCCTCTCAGCTCGCGCATTCTCCGCTCGCACTCGCCCTCACCTCTCCCTCCTTCCTCAAGGTTCGTTTGTCCAGGCGATTCGTCGAACTCCACCTACCTCGTTAAGATGCTTCTGGCGGCGCGGCTTTAAATATTAGTTAGGTTTTAGTGTGAAGAGTCGCTCAGGTTTTGTGTAAGGACGGGCCCGTTCGTGCTTGTGCCTCCATTCCTCTGACACTGTCAATATCAGCGATTCGCCACGTGGCACGACCAACTGTTGCGGTGGTATTCAAGCAGGACCTTCTCACGTCGCATCGTTGCATCTGTGCCGTCCGATTGTTGTGCTCTGTGCAGCGGCGCCGTCGATTCCCGCGAGCCACGATGGGTCACGAGACAGTCTGGAACTCGCACCCGAAGAAGCATTCCCCTGGCGCCCGCCTCTGGTCAGTCAGGGCTCTTGTGTCAGTTATGTGAGGGTTACAGTGCTGGTTACGCTCAGTAGTCACCCGTTCCTGATTGGTGAGGGATATTGCGGACAAGCACTCCCCTGGCGCCCGCCTCTGGTCAGTCTCATTGGGGTTGCCACGAGGGTTATTGTGAGGGTTACTGTTAGTGTTACTGTTAAGGTTACTATGTTGGTAAGGGTTACTACCTTTCAGTAATAGCGGGGCGCTGGTTAATAAGGGTTACTGCGAAGAAGCACTCTTCTGGCGCCCGCCCCTGGTCAGTCTCGTTGGGGTTGTTAACCCTGAGATGACGTTGACGGTTACGGTGAAGGTTTCCGTTTGGGTTACGTTGCCTCCATTCAATGATCGGCGTCTAGTTTTGAGGCGCCTCAACTTTAGACTCCTATCGTTCAATGATCGGCCGTCGCTGGTCAGTGTTTGAGGATGACTGGTAGTGCCGCGAGTCACGATGGGTCAGATCGCCGTAAGGGTGTATTTTAGAATTATCAATAACATCCCGCTATAAGAACTCGCACCCGAAGAAGCACTCCCCTGGCGGTCAGTCCCCTGGCGCGCTCCTCTGGTCAGTCAGATCGCCATTAGGGTTACTGCGAGAGAGTGACAGTTAGGGTTACTGTGACATTATCGAGGGGTAACTGTGAGGAGATAACCGTGAGGGTATCTGTAAAGAGTATTGCGAGGGTAATTTCTGTCCGTTCGTTGGACTCCCCGCCTCTGGTGACTCTTAAGAATAAGTTTGCCGGGAAGATTCTGACTGCTGGTAGGTTCGTGAAGCGCTTATTCTGTGGTGGCTAGGGCGTGCAACTCGCGCGGCCTGTTAACGGCGTAAAAAATTCGCCTGCTGAAACCAGATCTGTGTTTTACACGCGATTAGAGCATGGAAAGCTTGGTTTCGACCCTCGTCATCTTCTAGCAGGTGATTCTAGCCTAGGTTTAGGCCAAACGAGCTTGGTTTCGGCCCTCGTCATCTTCTAGCATGTTCGGGTAGCATGCTCGTGCATCTTTTAGGCTCGTTTGGTCACTTCCCGGGTGCGGGTAGTCGTGGGCTTGGACTAGTTTCCTCCTCGTGTATTGTTGGTTCCCTCTTCTTAGCGGTCTGTTTTGAGACGCCTTAAATGCGTTACTCCTCATAATGCCTGAGTTTCAACCGTGTTGCATGAGTTTCCTAAACAGCGTTCCCTCCCTTGTCCCGATTCCCTTGTCCCGATTCCCTTGTCGCGTGGGGTAACTTCCTCGGCATGATCAGCAAGTGCCTTCGAGGCGCCTCAATATTGCCGTCGACGTGATTTCTGTTTCCATTTTCTCCCCTGTTTTGAACCTGCTGCTTGAAATGGCTGCCGGGTATGCGGCAACTGCCACGGCATGATCCGCAAGTAGCGTTTGAGGCTGTCTCGCATCACCCTCCCTGCTTTGAGCTTCTTTATGGGTGTTTCCCTTCCGTCTCTCACTTGCCTAAATTGGCAGTCGGGTGTGCGGCAACTGCCATGGCATGATCCGCAAGTACAGGGGTCTCAACAATCCCTTAGTCCTGAGGTTCTGATTTGCCTTCCCCTTCCTCCCGTGTTCTAAATCTGCCGCTGGGAATGGCAGCCGGGTGTGCGGCAACTGCCACGGCATGATCCGCAAGTACGGCCTCAACTGCTGCCGCCAGTGCTTCCGCACCTACTCCAAGGACATCGGCTTCATCAAGGTACGCGATGTTAGCGCCTATGCGTATTTGGCTTCGTTAACATAGTGGTATTGGGTCTAGCAAGGTACAGTGTGTCAACGTCAACTGTTTCCGCCAGTGCTTCCGCACCTACTCCAAGGACATCGGCTTCATTAAGGTACGCGATATTGGGTTCATCAAAGTACTTACGTCGATTCCATCAGGGCCCCCCTACATTGTCATATCTAGCTTCGTTAAGCAGGTGAAATTGGCTCGAAAGGTACAGAATATGGGTCAGTTTAACAAATTCTGCCAGTGCTTCCGCACCTACTCCGAATAGTGCTACTGGTTATATGATTTCATTATTCTATTCATCAGTGTATCAACTTGAGGTAATAATGTTGCCTTCACCATGGTTCATCCTACCATATTGGTTTTCGTAATAGCTTCTCACGCAGTGGCCTCATGGTTGTCACGGTTTATACTCCCTTGTGCGTTTTGGTTTGCAGCACAAGTAAGAAGATGGTGTTTATACCAGGAGCTATTGGAGCCACAAGCGAATATTGAATTCCTTGCTGATGCATAAGGAGATCCCAAGGCATTCAGCCGCACGCGTACCATCTGTGCCTGTTTCTACATGCCTGATGTAGTGATTCAATGTAAAATCAAAATGTATGTGCTGGTAATGGAAGGCGAGTGAGGATTGTAAGCTGTACTGTGCTGAATGTGGTGCCATTATTCCTGGATACGTGGCACATAAGCCAAGAGCTTTTGCCATTATGCCAACTCAGCTCAGCACATGGACACACTGTCAGCAACTGTTCCGTGCACATAATGAACTGTGGTGTACAGTGCAATGTCTTGCACACTATTTGACCATCACATACGCTGCCTTGATCATTACTTGAGGATCGGAAAGAGATTGCTCTTTTACCCTGACTAATGGTAGTCAGGGAAACAATGTGGCAGCCGCTACCTATCTAGGGTTGTTTACTCATGGTGCCGCTGCTGCTGCTGCTTCTGCTGAATGCTGATCTGAACTGAAGGCTGCCATTCTTGCTGACATGTACTACCTAGGGTTGACGCCAGCAATAAATCCTTTAGCCTCTCGTCTGTTCATGGTGCTGGTACTCGAGCCATCAGCACCTGCTGCTGCTGCTGCATCTGCAGATTGTTGGTCGGATGCTACCTTCCCTCCTGACGATGCCGAGTCAAACCCGAGCTCTGAGAGATTCTGAGGAGCCATGAGGTTCCTGTGACCGTGAAAGAAGAGCAAGGAGAACAGGGGGGACTCCGCGTTTGTTGCGATCAAATGCGAGACCGAATCAAACCCCAGCTCTGAGTGGTTCTGAGCGGCCACGAGGTTCCTGCCATGGAATAAGGCGAACAAGGAGAGCCAGGGGGGCATGTGGCAGTGTAGAGAGAGCAAGGGGACATGGGGGAAGCCGAGCTCTAAAGCCGCCCCAAGGCTTTCAAGCCGCTCCGTGCTTTAACTTGCCGCGACACCCAGCAGTGCCTCACCTGTCCATGCGGTACTGCAGGTACTTCTCGGCAATGCCTCTGCAGCACTTGTCTGTCTGGATGCCGTGCTTTAACACACCCTCAGGGCCCTCAGTGCTTAAACTTGCCGCGACACCCAGCAGTAGTGCCTCACCTGTCCATGCGGTACTGCAGGTACTTCTCGGCAATGCCTCTGCAGCACTTGTCTGTCTGGATGCCGTGCTTTAACACACCCTCAGGGCCCTCAGTGCTTAAACTTGCCGCGACACCCAGCAGTAGTGCCTCACCTGTCCATGCAGCAGCGGAGGTACTTCTTGGCAATGTCTCTGCACTTGCTGTGAGGCGCATCGGTACTTACCCACTTTCCCCCTGGCATACGAGCCATGACTCACCTGTCCATGCGGCATTGCAGGTACTTCATGCCAATGTCTTGGCACTTGTCCGAATGGTCGCCGTCTTCGGAGGCACGTCAAGGCTGAGCAGGTTCTGTGCTTTTCTGTGCTGGCTGCTTTGCAATAGGGGTATCGAGGGAAACCCACCTGTCCATGCGGCCTTGCAGCACTGCTTTGCTTCGTCTCACCACATGCAGCATTGAAGGCAGCTCACCTGTCCATGCGGCATTGCAGGTACTTCTTGGCGATGTCTCGGCACTTGTCCGACTGGTTGCCGTGCTGCTTCAGGCACTCCATGTACTCGCGCATCACCTGAATCGCTCAATAGGGAGGACATAAGGGAAAGACAAGATGCTGAACTATGAATAGAAACAGCAGTCTGCTTCAGGCACTCCATGTACTTGCGCATCACCTGAACCACTCAATAAAGAAGATATTGTTAGGGAAGGACAAGAAATTGCCTTGTGTATAAACGCGACAGCTTTGTTCATGCACTCCATGTACTCGCGCATCACCTGCATCACTCAATAGAGAGGACACTGCAAGCGAAAGACAAGACATCGGTGTATGAGTAGACACAACAGCCTGCGTCAGGCACTCACCCATCACCTGAACTGAATCGCTCAATAGAGAGGACGTTGTACAGGAAGGGGGGAAAAAAAAAAAAAACAAATGAAAAGACACAATAGCCTGCTTCGAGCCCTCCATGCCACGCATTGCCTGAAAGGGTGAGACAAAGCCCTGTTTCGCACCCCATCGCACCACATCGCACCGCAACGCACCCCATCTCACCCAATTGTGCCCCATCGCATCCCATCGCACCCCATCGCACCTCTTTGCACTCCCCGAAGTGGTCCAATGGGAACACGCCCTTTTCCGGGGGAACCGGCTGCAGCGACCGACTGCCGCCAAACGCTCCCCCGACGCCCGCCATGGCACCTGTCGCTCCCCCAACGCCCGCCAACGCACAGGTGCTCCCCCACCGAGATTTTCGGCTCTGTCTTGGCAGCGACTCGAGATGCTACAAAATGCAGCGCGCCGTTTCTTGATAGGATTCACACGGAAAGCACACTTCAACCACGCGACTGCGACGTATCGAGTCGACCTGAAAGGCGGATGCGACGGCGGAGACTCGAGGTGCCTTAGACACTAACTCCCTCAACCGCCTTGAAATAGAGCAATCTGGCGGACTGCACCTTCAGGACTCAGGTCCCGCCATACCTCCCTGGTCTCACTCAGAGGGTTGCCACCATGCTAGAGTGCAATCTCGAGGCGACGCACGGCGACGCACGGAGTCGCTTTTGAAGACAGGCTCGCTAATTCTTACGTCACACTTAGCTGGCAAACGCGTAGTTTCTCCGCTTGTATCGCATGAGAGGGGTGAATGGGACGAGGTACACCAATATTCCAGTAAACCGCCCATTCATTACACATTACGTGACTATTTACAGGCTTATTAATTCAAGCACACGGCCAACGGCCCAGCCTAGAGAGGCCCAATGATCTCCATCAGTTACCACATCTGATAGAGACCTCCAAACGTGCAGACGGGACGTTCTGAGGCCTCACACTGCTGCCCGAGGAACGCAAAAGAAACAACAATAGTCACCCGCTTTAGACGAAAAATGCCAATTAGGTAACAGACTACCCCATATTGGCCCATTTCGCCCGTGAAATTTCTGCGCTCGATTCTGGAGCAGCCGCCCCAAAACAAACTGGGCTTGAGAAGGACTTCACGTGTATTATCACTTCGAGTTGCTCGCGTAATTCCGATGGCACCCTTTTCTGCGTACGATCCGTTTTGCGTTGGAATATTCGAATCTGTACACCTTATTTCAAAGCACTCCATAGCAACAATTTACAATAAGGTATGTACCACTTAAAAGCTTCCTCTTAAGGTCAAGATCCGTACACGCTGTATAAATCAGTATTGTCCATGTCGAGGTTGTACACGAATCCACTTCGTGGCGCTCCACTTGTTTCCTCGAATGACTGGGCACCCAGCTGGCATGGCAAAGAGCAGAAAAACCAGAAAGAACGAATCCAAAGACAGGGTGCTCGCAACAAAATTAACACAAGGTGGGCAAGAGCACAATGAAAGAGAATAAGATGACATGACAACAGCCTCCAAAGTTACAAGCACAGCGTTCCCCCCGGTTGCACATTCGAACATTCCCATTCGCTCTCAAAGTTGTAAGATCACCTCACCTTTCAAAGCACAAATCATTGAACAAACATAGCATGAAGGTTTTGTCAACATATATATATTTATATAAATATGTTTAAGATAGGTAGCTGTAATACTCGTACTAATTTTTACTGTAGAGAGGACAACTCTTCTCTTGTACCTCTCTCTCTTCTTTAGTCATCACTGTTAAGATGAGCTAGGTAGGGGGGGGAAGCCATGAATGACGAGTGTTGTTTTACCTAGGAGAAAATGTCGAGAGAGAAGAGTTGAGATTAGATGAGAGAGGGATACAAGGAGGGGGTGTTAGAAGACTAACTTAGTTAGGAAAGTAGGCGGCCATGAAATGACGAGAGGTTTAGGAGCTAGGAGCTAGGAGAGAAAAGTTGACGAGAGAAAAGAGAGTGAACTAGAAAAGAGAGAGGCATACAAGGAGAGAGTTGTACCCTCTACAGTAGAGTTTGATAACCTACCCAACCTACAATTATGTAACAAATATAATTTAACACACCCCTTAGGCTTGGTAGCGGCAAGCCCACACACACCCACACCCCCTAGTCTAGCACCCATACTCAGTAGCAGCAACTGCTACTTTAGCACGGTCAACCCCATGGCACGTGAGGCGGGGCGACATCGACAACGAAGACAGTGGCTGCAACGGCGGCGACGGCGGCAGCGTCGACAGCGGCGGCGCTGGCGGCGTGCGGCGGCGGCGGCTTCGACGACAGCTGCTGGTGGCGGCGGAGCTCACAACACTCGGCGGCGTGGGCGGGCCCTGCGACGATGGGACGGCCGGCGCGAAGTACCCGTCGGCTGCTGCAAGGAAAATGGGACGCAGGGGAAGGGGGGCGGAGCTTCAGCAGCGGAGCCCGGGAGCGTACCGCCTCGTGTGGCGCGCTGGCTGCGTGCGGGCGTGCTGGCCAGCGCTAAGAAGAGGCGCTGGCCGTTGCCGTCCGTGCTGTCCGCGCGCTGTCGCGTAGACGCCCCGGCAGCACGACGGCGCCGTCACGCCGCCACAGTTTGATGTCGACGCCGACGCCGCCACGGCTTAACATCGACGCCACAACAGCTCGACGCCACGGCAGCGCGTTGTGACGGCCACGGCAGCACGACGCGGCCGGCGGCAGGACGACGCGGCCACAGCAGCACGACTTGGCCGCCATGGCAGCGCGAGAGAGAGAGTAGAAGAGCGCGGCGTAAGCATGAGGAGCAGGGCCACAAGGAACGAACAGCACTGATTCCATGTTAGAAGACTAACTTAGCTAGGAAAGAAGACGGCCATGAAATGACAAGAGGTCTAGGACGATCGGCTGCGGCAAGGAAGAGGGGACGCAGGGGAAGGGGGGCGGGGCTTCAGCAGCGGAGCCCGGGAGCGTACCGCCCCGTGTGGCGCGCTGGCCGCATGCGGGCGTGGTGGCCAGCGCTAAGAAAGGCGCTGGCCGCTGCCGTCCATGCTGTCCGCGCGCTGTCGCGTAGACGCCGCGGCAGCACGACGGCGCCGTCACGCTGCCACAGTTTGACGTCGACACCGATGCCGCCACGGCTCGATGTCGACGCCACGACAGCACGACGCCGCGGCAGCGCGTTGCGACGGCCGCGGCAGCACAATGCCGCCGGCGGCACGACGACGCGGCCACAGCAACACTACGCGGCCGCCATGGCAGCGCGAGAGAGAGAGAGTAGAAGAGCGCGGCGGAAGCGTGAGGAGCAGGCCCACAAGAAACGAACAGCTCTGATTCCATGTTAGAAGACTAACTTAGCTAGGAAGGTAGGCGATCATGAAATGGCGAGAGGTTTAGGAGCTAGGAGAGGAAGTTGACGAGAGAAAATAGAATTGGAATAGAAGAGAGAGAGGCATATAAGGAGAGAGTTGTACCCTCTACAATAGAGTTTAGTAACACCTACCAAGCCTACAATTATATAACAAATATAATTTAACACTTGTGACTACCAAGTCTAGGGGGTGTGTTAAATTAGATTTAATAGGTATATAATTGTAGGCTTGGTAGGTCTTGCTAAATCCTACTGTAGAGGGTACAACTCCCTGTTAAATTATATTTGTTACATAATTGTAAGCTTGGTAGGTTATCAAACTCTACTGTAGAGGGTACAACTCTCTCCTTGTATGTCTCTCTTTCTTCTATTCCAACTCTCTTTTCTCTCTCTCAACTTTTCTCTCCTAGCTCCTAAACCTCTCGCCATTTCACGGCCGCTTACCTTCCTAGTTAAGTTAGTCTTCTAACAATCACTCCCTCTCCCTAATTTTCTCTCTAACTAAACCCTATCACGACATGGTTTTAGAGCAAGTCCATCCTGTCGGGCCTACTCTGTCAACATATATATATATCAATATATATGTAGGCTAGGCAGGTGCAATACTCTGGCTGGTGCTTTCTCTAGAGAGTACAACCCACTACTTGTACCTCTCTCTCTTCACTAGTCAATACTCTCTTTTTCTCGCCACTTTCTTCCTACCTAGCTAAACCCTCGTAGGGCGGTGTCGTGCCTCGAAAGGGCTCACACCCGCCCTAGAGCCCTTTTTGCCCGGTTGGAAATCGACTACATCGGAAGGGGTTGTGGGCTCTAGGGTGGTGCCGTGCCTCGAAAAGGCTCACACCCACCCTAGAGCCCTCTTTTTCCCGGTTGGAAATCGACTACACCGGAAGGGCTTGTGGGCTCTAGGGTGTTGTCGTGCCTTGAAAGGGATCACATCCGCCCTGGAGCCTTTTTTGCCCGGTTGGAATTCGATTACACGGGAAGCCTGTGGGGACTAGGGTTGGATGAACCCATGGGCCGGTTCAGATCCGCCCTAGGGGCAAAGAAACCAAGGGGGGATGGGCCCAAGGGTTGGATGAGCCCATGGGCTGGTTCAAATCCGCCCTTGGGGTCAAATGAGCCGGCTGGGGGGGTCAGAATGGCCGAGCGGGGATGGGCTCTTGAATTGGATGAACCCATGGGCCGGTTCAAATCCGCACGTTTATCCTGTTGGACCTTCTTCTCACGCTTCCGTCGTGCACTCTCTCCTCTCCTCTCACTTTCGCGCTGCCGTGGCGATCTCGTCGTGTTGTAATGGCAGCCTCGACGCGCTGTCGTGGTGGCCTTGACGCGCTGCCCTGGCAACCTCGTTTCGCTGCCGTGGCGGCCTCGTTTCGCTGTCGTAGCGGCCTCGTCGTCCTGTCGTGGCGGCTTCGACAACGGCGGCAGAGCCAGGGGCACTCGGTGGCGCGGCACGTCTCTGCGACGACAAGGAAGGACGGCTTGAGACAACCATTGGCTGCGGTGGGGAGGGGGGGGGGGCGTGTCTTTGGCGGCTGGTGCAGTTAGCGGACCAGGGGTCGGCTAGAGCGTGCTGGCAGGGGCGCTGGCTGGCAGGCTGGAGTCAACGCGGCGAGCTGGGGCCGACACAGCGAGCTGGTGCCGACGCGGCGAGCTGGGGCGGCTGCAGCGAGCTGGGGCCGACGTGACGAGCTCAAGCCAATGCGGCGAGCTGGGGCCGGCGGCGAGCTAGGGGCCACATGGCGAGCTGAGGCCGGCGGCGAGCTGGGGGCCGCACGGCGAACTGGGGCCGTCGCAACGAGCTAAGGCGGCGCGGCAAGACGGGGCCAACGCGGCGAGCTGGGGCCGACGCGGCGAGCTCGGGCCGGCGCGGCGAGCTCGGGTCGACGAGGCGAGTTCGGGCCGACGCGGCGAGCTGGGGCGATGCGACGAGCTGGGGCCAATGCGGCAAGCTGGGGCCGGCGGCGAGCTGGGGGCCACACGGTGAGCTGAGGCCGGCAGCGAGCTGGGGGCTACATGGTGAGCTGGGGCCGTCGTAGCGAGCTAGGGCGGCGCGGCAAGACGGGGCCGACGTGGCGATCTGGGGCCGACGCAGCAAGCTGGGGCCAGCGCGGCGGGCTAGGGGCCGGCGTGGCATGGCGTGCCATGTGGGCGCGACGGTGGGAGGAGAGGGGAGAGTGAGATGCAGAAGCGTGGGGAGCAGGCCCGGCAGGATGGACCTGCTCTTAAACCATGTCGTGATACGGTTCAGCTAGAGAGAAAGTTAGCGAGGAGAAAGAGTGATGACTAGAGAAGAGAAAGAGGTACAAGAGGAGAGTTGTCCCTTGTACAGTAAGAACCAGTATGAGCATTACCCCTACCTAGCCTACACACATACACACACACACACACACACACACACACACACATATATGTATATTTGTACATATGTATATATATATATATATATGTGTGTGTTGACAAGCAGGGCATCTCCTTGCTTTAGTTTCACTACGAGCAAGCCCTTCGCACCCTGGGAGAGCTCAATCTTAGAGCGTGTTCCAACAATCCTCTTCCCAGCCAACCTCTTCCCAACCCATCTCTTCCCAGACTCACGTGCGTGTCTGTACAGTGCAATTTCGGCGCGATTTTTTTCTAATTCTGTTGAAAATGGTGGAACGCGAATCTGAAATGGAGTTAGTCTGAAAGAGGTTCTACGAATACGCTCTCATGCGGGGTGCGAATCTGGGAAGCGGCTAGCTTGGGAAGAGGTTCGTAGGAACACGGTTAACACACTCACCATGCAGCATCTTGGGGTCCAAAGTGGTATCGTGCTTCAAGCCCCACAACAGAAGGGCACCCCCCCCCCCCCTTGGAGTTCATTCTTCTAGCCTGCCCTTTGCACAATGGGAGAGCTCAAAACACCTCACCATTCAAATTGTGAGTCAATGACCGCACTTACCATGCATGCTTTAGGGTCCAGTATGGAATGTTCGGCTTCAAGTTCCAGAACAGAAGGGCATGTCACCCCTTGGGCTTCACTGCCAGTGCCAGCATGCCCCTCGCACACTGGGAGGGCTCAAACCATCTCAGTAAACAACATACCATGCAGGCTCATGGGGTCCATCATGGTATCCAGCTAGAGATTCCAGAACCGCATCGACGCGCTTGGGCTTTACTGCCAGCATGCCCCTTCGCGCACTAGGAGACACGTCACTCTTCCAACCATGCATCGCATGCCATACAGACTCTTGGGGAACAGCACCGCATCGCCCTACATGGGCTTCACTGCATGCCCCTTCGCGCACTAGGAGACACGTCACTCTTCCAACCATGCATCGCATGCCATACAGACTCTTGGGGAACAGCACCGCATCACCCTACGTGGGCTTCACTGCATGCCCCTTCGCGCACTAGGAGACACGTCACTCTTCCAACCATGCATCGCATGCTATACAGACTCTTGGGAAACAGCACCGCATCGCCCTACATGCACTTCACTGCATGCCCCTTCGCGCACTAGGAGACACGTCACTCTTCCAACCATGCATCGCATGCCATACAGACTCTTGGGGAACAGCACCGCATCGCCCTACATGGGCTTCACTGCCAGCACGCCTTTGGCACACTGGGAGAGCTCACGCTTATAAGCTTGGAAGAATTGACCCACACTCACCGTGCAGGCTCTTGGGGTCCAACGTCGTGTCCGGCTTTAAGTTCCAGAACAGAAGGGCATCCCCTCGCTTGGGCTTAACTGCCAGCATGCCCTTGGCACACTGGGAGAGTTGCGAATCCGGTGGCAGTGGTGAGTGAATGTTGGCGGGAGTGAGCTCCGCTGCTGGGAACACCGTCTCGCCCCCCTCCTCCACATCCGACCTGGAGAAACAGGGGGGCGGGGAATGGAAGATCGAAGGGCGGAGAGCAAAAGATGGACGGGTTCAGCATGCCCTTGGCGCACTGGGAGAGTTGCGAGTCCGGTGGTAATGGTGAGTGTATGTTGGTGGGAGTGAGCTCTGCTGCTGGGAACACTGTCTCGCCCCCTTCCTCCACATCCGACCTGGAGAAACAGGGGGGCGGGGAATGGAAGATCGAAGGGTGGAGAGCAAAAGATGGACGGGTTTAGCATGCCCTTGGCACTCTGGGAGAGGTGGGAGTCCGGTGGTAGTGGCGAGTGGATGTTGGCGGGAGTAAGCTCTGCTGCTGGGAACACCGTCTCGCCCCCCTCCTCCACATCCGACCTGGAGTGAGGGAGGAGGGGAGAAGAGTGAGAGCTTTGGGGTTAGCATGCCCTTTGCACGTTGGGAGAGGGTCAAGTTCAGTGGCAGCGGTGAGTGGATGTTGGCGGCCCGGATTGAGCTTTGCTGCTGGGAACCACGTCCTGCATCCCTCCTCCACATCCGACCTGGAGTGAAGGAGTAGGGGTGAGAGATTAGGGATAAGGCGCATGTCCCTTGCGCACAGGGAGAGGTGCGAGTCTGGTGGTGGTGGTGCGTACAAGTCGCGTGGGCTCAGCTGCTGGAACCGCTGACTTGCTGTCTTGCCATCGTGAGTCCTTGCTACTGTGCTCATCTGCTGCCCCCCTCGTTACACTCACACGTACATGAGAACAGTGGTGCGCCTCTGCCCGCCATTGCGAGTTGTTAATGTCATCGTGAAAGTACTCCAAGTGCGACTGGTACTCTCCCCTCGACCCCCAGAATACTATTCCTTCCGTTACAGTCACACTCCCAGACTCCATCGTTACCCTCACAGGTACATGAGCACAGTCGCAAGCCTCTGCCTCCCATTGCGCATGTTTATATCATTATGGATATAGGCAAAGTGCGCCTGATACTCCCCCCCCACCTATCATACCCCCTGTATATTGCACTCACAGGTACATGAGAACAGTAGCAAGCCTCTGCCCGCCATTGCGCGTGTTGATGTCATCATGAAAGTAATCAAAATGCGCCTGATACTCCTGGGAGGCCTCGTAGTGCAGCACGTGTATGGCCTCCCCATGGTCTGTTGGAATAGAAGGTGGGAAGAAGTTAGAGAACAAGGGGGGGGAGCGAGGGGATGGGTTAGTAGTCAAAGTAGTCAAAGTGCGCCTGGTACTCCTGGGAGGCCTCGTAGTGAAGCATGTGGATGGCCTCCCCGTGGTCTGGCGGATTTGGAATAGGGGGGAAGAAGGGGAGGAAAGAAAGAACCATAGTGAGACATTGAATTGAACACATGGCGTGGAAGGAGTCAAGCTTTTGAGTCGACTCAAAAGCACACTCATTACGTGCGGTTCTTATATTGAGAAAGAGGGGAGTAAGAAAGGACCATTGTGAGAAATTGAACATATGACTATGCAGGGTATTATTGAGAATCCTCAAAAATACCCTGCAGACTGTGAGACATTGAACATATGATGGGGAAGGAGTCAAGGGAAGACGCCAGAGAGAAGGAGCGAAACGAGGGCAGGCTGCTGGTAAAATTGAACCGTATGTACAGCCGTATAGCTGATACAGCTGCATACTTATGGGAATTTCCTGGCCACATACTCACGACGTATACGGGGCTAGTGAGGCTCACCAACTGGCAGGTGGGAGAAGTCGGATATTCTCTTCTCGATAGCCGTCACCACCTCGTCTGATCCTCGGGATAGAAACGACCCCGAGCTCGTCCGGATCCTGCAGGAACCACCACCACATTTACGCACACATGCTTCGAATCACCCATTATTTTCCCTATAGCCGTCACCGCCTCGTCTGATTTCCACGATAGAAACGACCCCGAGCTCGTCCGAATCCTGCCAGAAACCACTACCACATTCACACACACACACAAGTGAATTAGCCCTTCTCTTCTCAATACCCGTCACCACCTCATCCGATCCTCGTGATAGAAACGACCCTGAGCTAGTCCGGATCCTGCCACGAGCAGCAGCACACTTTGTGGTGCAATAGCCTCAGCTGGCTCTTCTGTGTAGAGTGGTGGCGACAGGATCCCAGCCCCCTGCGCTGCGCTCTCGGCTCAAACAGGACTGCCGACAGTCAAACGTCCAGATATTTCAGAATCGAGTAAAAAAATAAAACCTTTTAGCTTCGAGTCAAACGACCAAACCCTTCAGTGTTGAATCACGTCCAAGGGCCTGACAAAGAAAAACCTCATGATAGCAGAGTCATTCTTCCTGTCAGGGTGTTTTTGAGAGTTGCAGGGTGTTGTTGAGAGTTGCAGGGTGTTTTTGAGAGTTGCAGGGTGTTTTTGGGAATTCTCAGAAACACCCTGAAAAACCTCATGATAGCAGAGTCATGATTCCTTTCAGCTACTGAAGCACCCCCACTGATTCCTACCATACTCGTTATGAGAGGACTCACTTGCTGCTGTAGGAGCCGCCTGAGTCGCTGTCCACTACAGTTGACTTGACCATGTTAGGGGCTGCTTTATGGATCAGGTAGAGGCACTCCTTGGCACTCTGAGCACGGAGTGTAACGGATGGTGAGGAATGGTAGAGGAGAATCATGCATACAGTTGAAGAGCCAACTTCAGAAAAAACTCCATGAGGCGAAAGTCTAGAGATCGATGCACGCCGGGAATACAAGAAACATTGGAAAAAACTTGGATTGACATTGACAGGTAACATGCACATAATGAGATTGTGAACAGAAAAACTTGGAATCCAAGAAACATTGGAAAAAATGCTTTGAAAAAAGCTTACAAGGAAGTTGTGGAACAGAAAGGCCCTGGGCTCCCATGAGATGAGCTCTATCCATTGCCTCTGGGACGGATCGTCCTCACTGGTTGAGTTGAAGCTGCTTGGCGAAACACGACGGGACACAAAGGAGATGCCAGTGCAAGTGATCTGAGACGTCCATACACCATTAGGTTTTTTCAATTTGCTCTGAAATTGGCAGATCGCAGCGGAACTTCTCGAAACATTGAGGAAACGACATACGCAACAGGGTGTGTAAGACCTAAATCTCAAGGTAGCAGATTGCTGTCGGACACAAAAGTTGGAGAAAAGGAATACGCAGACAGGGTGTCTAAGGCCTAAATTCCCCTGGGCAAGCTGTCTACCCGGGCCGATTATAAGCACCAATAGCAAACCACACGTCAGCAGAGTTGGTTTTCGAGAGTTCTCAACCCTAAACCAACTTAACCCCGGACAAACAGTCTACCCTGGTTACTTATGAGCGAACCACACGTCAGCAACAATCTACACCCACCTTTCCCCCTTCCATCCTATTAGCCTCTCCTCGTCTTGCGCGTCATTGGATATCGCAGCCACGTGGGACCCCCACGTGATTCCAGCAGCTAAGCACGCGACGAAAAGAGCCGCCGAAACATCCGGGATCGCGACTGCAGAATGATTTCTCCGACCCATGGTTTCTTCCGAATATGCAGATGGGAAGCAAAAAAGTAATGAAGCTCGCTCGCGAGAAATAATCTAACAATCAAAGAAGGCTCTTTCTGTAGAGAATTCCGCCCAAGGACACGCGCGGGTGTAGAACGCAATCGAACAATGGAGCTTAAATGGCCCACGCAACCGCAACACGGTCGGTGACTTCCTGGCCTACTAGTTTAGAAGCTGAGTGCTACTGGTCGGATTCTAGTCTTGCCAGATTCTAGTCTTGCTTTTCTCCTAGATTCTTGGTTGTCTGAGCTGAACACAAGCACAGTACTTGAGTGTGCTGCTTTTCCCGCCAGAAAATAGGCATTTGACAGCACAGGATGGTCTGGCGAACTGACAGAAGTCGCTGGGGTCTGATTCCTTCCGACACTACCAGATTCGCTACTGTTCTAATCCCCTTTGTCGAAGCCTGTGGCACACCATTTGCGTGTGTTGTTCGCTACTGTTAATTCCCTTTGTCGAAGCCTGTGGCACACCATTTGCGCTTCAGACAGTATCTTGTCACAAGAAATATTAGTTTTCTAGAAACGAACAACACACGCAAACTACAGGTTAAGCTAGCAACCTAGCAAACGCAGAAATGACAAATCTCACAGCCTACAGAGCTGTACAACATTGCAGCTCTTGCCAAATTAGACTGCAGGGGGCACGAATCATAGGCCTTGATCGGTACCCTGTATTACAAAGCAGTTACCATATGTTTTACCTGGTGCACAAGGAGAAAGCAGTGATATTGCGAGTGGAAGGGACAGAGACAGAGTGTTTCCACCTTCACATCACAACGGCAGCAGTAAGCGAAATGAAATGCGGAAACCTCCTTGATGCCGCCAACAGGTACAACGAAATGCAATGCCAACAGATACGGTACTACCAGACCTTCAGCTCCCAGCAAGTGATGCAAGCAAAAGTGAACACAGGCTGACGGTATGTAGCAGTACCTGTATCCTGCTCCACAGTAAGGGACGTAGTCTGGCGACCTGTCTCGACTGATAAGGCTGGCAAGTAAGGTAAGAAGTGAACACAGGCTGAGGGGATGTAGCAGTACCTGTATCCTGCCCCACGATAAGGGCCGTAGTCTGGCGACCTGTCCCGACGGTATGGCTGGTAGTCCGGTGACGATCGACGAGGATTGAACTCCCTCTCACCACCAAAAGAACGGTCTGTCAAGCGAGAGAGAAAAAAAAAGGAATGGCGAACCAAATGGGCAGAACGCGCAAGATATATGTGACTGGGAAACCGAAGAGGAACGGAGAAGGAACTCCGCAAATGCAAAATCTTACACCGTAAATATTTGCCATGCACGGTGTGTCGGTATGCAGCATTGTGGCACGATTGAATCACTCGACAAAAGAATGTGCGAACAAAAGATTTACGTACCACCACCAACACCAGGAACAGACTCTTTTAGGCTGCGAGTCCCAAGGAACTTGCCAGGAGTTGGGGTCCGAGCACGCTTTCGCTTAGCCTGCGGAAAATCAGGGAATGCTGGGGAAAGTTAGACGCCAAAAACTCCAGAATTCTTGTGGTAGATAGCGGGTGCATACAATAAGTGACATCGGAGGACAAAGTGTAGAAGTGCATGGAGGATGATGAGGAGACGCTGTAACTGGACGAGACATTTTGACTCATTTAGTGCATGCAATGCCATAGGGAAGTGGGGAAATTTCGCAGACAACACCACCGGTAACGCGCTTGGATCGGGTCGAAGGAGCTGTTGGGGAGGCGGAGCATAGGCATTGGGGTTGGTTGGGGTTGAAGCAGGATCTCATTCCCAGCCACTCGGTCGCTCGAAGCTGAGCAGACTCGATCGGCGAGAGATCGGGGCAGCAATTGATCGAAGTTGAAATTTGATGCCGGAACGGTTGCAGCAGTATTGATCGCTCCTTGGAGCGGAAATGCTGAGGCGCAAGCGAAGCACGTTCGTTGGTGCAGAATTGCTGGGGTTGGTTGTCGTAGATTAAAAATTGCAAATGTTTGGAGCTTGGGTGGCGCTATGTCGAGGCCGCTAAGGTCGAGGCCGCTAGGGCACATTGGGTGCGGGAGACGAATAATGGGGAAGGATGCTCGGCGGAGCGGCACTGGTCTAACCAACGCTGGGTAGACGGGAGAGAGAGGAGATGGTGGAGAGAGAGGAGGACGAGAAACGTCAGCCTTAAGCAAAGCTGAAGGGATTGAGCGCTGTCAGACAGACAACCCTCTATGCTGGCAAAAACCGGGTCTAGGAAACCCGAGAAGATGGGAAGAACGGGAGGGAGCGGGATCTTGGAAATCAGATGCGACGTACGAGCGCGACGGTGATGACGCGGCCGTCGAGGATGGAGCGGTCGAGGTACTTGAGGCAGCGGCGCGCGTCGTCCACGTTGTCCATCGTCACGAAAGCGAAGCCGCGGGAGTCTTTCGTGCGCGGATCCAAGACAAGCCTGCATTCAGCAACCTGCGGAGGGGAGAAAGACGGAAAGGCATGGAAAGAAGAGGTACTTGAGGCAGCGGCGCGCGTCGTCCACGTTGTCCATCGTCACAAAGGCGAAGCCGCGGGATTCTTTCGTGCGCGGATCGAGCACGAGGCGGCATTCAGCCACCTGCGGAAGGGAGACACCTGGAAACGAAAGAAGGTAAAAAATAAAAACCGAAAGAAATTACAAACGAAAAGCTTTGAAAAGGAATGTTCCAGAAATCGAGGGAGGAAGGGGTCGGCAGACGGTAACGAAATAACTGCACGCGGAATGCGGGCGAAAGGCAGGGAAATAAGACTCGGACCTTTCCCTCCTCGGAGAAGTGTTTCTCGAGCTCCACTTCGGTAGTTCGCATCGACAGGCCGGTCACGAAGAGGTTGTTTCGCTTTTAGTCGACTCAAAAGAAAAACGTAAAAGAAAAAGAAAAAGAAAGAAAACGCACCTTTCCTTCCTTGGAGAAGTGTTTCTCGAGCTCCACTTCGGTAGTTCGCATCGACAGACCCGTCACGTAGAGGTTGTTGCCGGGGTTCCTAGACTCATCACTGAAACAATCGAAGGCGTACGACACGAGGTGAAAATAAAAAAGGGCAAGTGTAAAGTTAGGGAACGATCGTCCTTCAATTAGAATGTGGAGAAGGGTGGAAAAAGGCACCCAGAAAAAAAAAAAAAAAAAAAAAAAAAAAAAAAAAAAAACACGAACAGAAAAAGAAAAAGAAAATAATGACAAGTGTGACCGTGACTATAACGGTTGCTGAGATGCGTACTCCGGGCCAGGGCTTCTCGGCGGAGGGCTCCGCATCCGGGGGCTTCCGCGCCGGAACGGCGGACTCCGGCTCCGCCCCTTTATAGGGCTCCGGCTGCGACGCCTAGGGCTCCGACTTCTGCTTCTAGCGGGACTCCTCACGGGGCTTCTGCTCCGCCGGCGAATCGGACTCCGGCTGCGTCCGCGCACGGGGCTGCGACTAAGGCTCCGCTTCCTGGCGGGACTGCGGACGGGGCTGCCGGGACGCCCGGGGCTGCGGCTGCGGCTCCGCGGAGCGGGGCTCCGCTGCCTGCGGGGGGACGGCGACCTGGACGGCATCGCTGAGTGGAGGTCTCCTAGTTGAACTAAAAGTTATAGAGAACTAATAAGAGGCCTGCTGGTGTTAACTAATAAGGTAACTAATGTACGAAGACAAGTCCTCGTGCGGCGCGAAGGTCACTTGACTGTGTCGGCTCTTCCTAGCAAACCCGCGGAGGCTACGGACTAGTGTAGTGCCGTTCAGAGACTTCAGTTGGTAAATCAGGTCCAGTCAAGCTGTGAAGGTAAGGTGAGAAGGAAGAAGCGGAGGTACAATTCGGTGGAGGTGGATGGGTGGGTTTGTTGGCGCTCTGCTGTTGTCGAGGTGGGGGGGAGGGGGGAGGGAGGGAGGAGGTGGGGGGGGAAGAGGAAACAGAGGAGGCTGGCGGAAACAGGTGTGGTCTGGTTGGGTTAGCTTGGGCTGGTTTGGTTTGGGGAGGCTTGGGAGAGCCCTGGGGCGGCGGTGGGGAGGGGAAACCCAGTTCGGATGGCAAAACCACTGCGCTTGTTTAGTTGGGCGAATTGAAATAAGGAAACGGAGCATCAACCAGCGCACCTTGCTAAACTGCGTTTGCTTATAGGGGGAACAATGTTCCCAGGAAAAGTATCCTTTTCTCTCCTCCCCCCATTCATTCCTCAGCAGCCTCTCCTGCAGTTGTAATGACAGCAGCATTCATCCCCTGCGTTTCCTGACGGAAATCTACAGTTCCCTAGGTACGTTAAGAGCAGCTTTTGAGTCGACTAAAAAACAGTTCCCTAGGTACGTTCAGAGCAGCTTTTGAGTCGACTAAAAAACAGTTCCCTAGGTACGTTCAGAGCAGCTTTTGAGTCGACTAAAACAGTTCCCTAGGTACGTTCAGAGCAGGAATTTATTCTCATGGAGGGCCTTCCTTGGAGTTCACCAAGTCTGCGAGTCTCCGCGAGGCTTCTGTTTCTCGTTTGCGCCGTCTGGTCCTTCGTTTGCGCGAATTCCGCAGCACGTGCTAGTAGCTGGTCGTTGGCTTCCGAGCTAGCAGCGGCAAGGGTCCAAGAATGGCTAGGGACCGACGATGCCGCCGGGTCAAAGCTTATCCGTGGGGAGAATATTCGTCCAGTCACAGGGACCAAATTCAGGTCCCAAGATCGAGTTCGCGTTGACGGTAGCCGGCGTGATTATACCGAAGCTGGTGACGAGTCAGCGAGACTCTTGAGCTTGACTAGCACGAGGGACAGGAAGGATCACGCGGCAGTTGCGAGAGGGCTCGTTGCGCGGAGCACCTGGGGAACACTCAGGTAGACGTGGTGGGGGGGAGGCGGTAAAGAGGGGGAGAGAGAATCGGGGAGAGCACAAGTGGGTGAGTCATACTGACGTGAGTCGCGGGAGCATGCATGGTTACGCCTGGAAGTGACTTTTGAGTCGACTCAAAAGTCATACTGGCGTGAGTCGCCAGAGCATGCTTGGTTACGCCTGGAAAGTAGGGGGTGCACGGTCGAACTTCCATTCGCATGGGTCCTCAGGTCCATTCTGGCGTGGAATTCGATATGTGCCAAGCATGGCGGGAAGCGCACTGATATACTCTAGGGCGATTTTTGAGGTGCCTCAAAATTAGACTTCCATTATCCATTCTGACGTGGAATTCGATCTGTGCCAAGTATGGTGGGGAGTATGGTGGGAAGCTCACTGATGTACTCTAGGGCGAATTCCTGGCGGCTGGCCGTTTTGACTAATCTCCCCCTCGGCTTTTTTGGGATCCTTGTGTGCAGCACCATTTCTCAGCACCTCCACGGCTCGCCTTTTGGGTAAGCGTTTCTTTTGGGTGAGCGTTTCTCTTATCACATTTCTCTATGGCAGGAGATAGCGTTTCCGTTGCTACAGAAAACACATCTGTCTTTTCGTGCTGGTGTCTGCCTTTCAGGAACGTGGCATCGTTCAGTGATGGCATCCCTGGTAACTATACAGGTATGCTGCGTGACTTACTGTGGATCTCCTTTATACAGCGCACTTAAAACGCTGGTCTGAGGGGCTATTAAACCTTATGGTATATTTTCTCTTCCTTATGCATCAGAATGATTATACGCTGTAAATTAAAAAACGCAATCACCTGGGCTTTGTGAACGGTGCCCATACACCCTGACATTTGCCACTGCTTCCCTCACAGGAACGCCGTACTTCTACCTCACGCCTCTGGACCCCTCTGCTGCTGACGTGGCAGCCAATCCTCGCGCCTCATTGGCCATCAGCGCCATGCCTCTCGGCACGTGCGGGGACTCGGACCCTGAGAGCCCACTCTGTGCCAAGCTGACACTGTCAGGAGAGGTAGGCTATGGGAGGAGGTTAATCTAGTGGATGGAATATCCGGCCCTTCGCCTCTCAGCACGTGCGGTGTCTTTGACTTGGACCCCGAGGGGCGAGAGGACGCCGAGAGGCCCTTCTGTGCCAAGGTGTCACTGTCGGGAGAGGGAGGCATTACAGAAGGCATTACTGTCAATCCACCATCCCATGTCAATCCACCATCCCATGTCAATCCACCATCCCATGTCAATTCACCATCCCATGTCAATCCACCATCCCATGTCAATCCACCATCCCATGTCAATCCACCATCCCATGTCAATCCACCATCCCATGTCAATTCACCATCCCATGTCAATCCACCATCCCATGTCAATCCACCATCCCATGTCAATCCACCATCCCATGTCAATCCACCATCCCATGTCAATCCACCATCCCATGCCAATTCACCATCCCATGTCAATCCACCATCCCATGTCAATCCACCATCCCATGTCAATTCACCATCCCATGTCAATACCATCCCATGTCAATCCACCATCCCATGTCAATTCACCATCCCATGTCAATCCACCATCCCATGTCAATCCACCATCCCATGTCAATCCACCATCCCATGTCAATCCACCATCCCATGTCAATCCACCATCCCATGTCAATCCACCATCCCATGTCAATCCACCATCCCATGTCAATCCACCATCCCATGTCAATCCACCATCCCATGTCAATCCACCATCCCATGTCAATTCACCATCCCATGTCAATCCACCATCCCATGTCAATCCACCATCCCATGTCAATCCACCATCCCATGTCAATCCACCATCCCATGTCAATTCACCATCCCATGTCAATTCACCATCCCATGTCAATCCACCATCCCATGTCAATCCACCATCCCATGTCAATTCACCATCCCATGTCAATCCACCATCCCATGTCAATCCACCATCCCATGTCAATCCACCATCCCATGTCACTCCACCATCCCATGTCAATCCACCATCCCATGTCAATCCACCATCCCATGTCAATCCACCATCCCATGTCAATTCACCATCCCATGTCAATCCACCATCCCATGTCAATCCACCATCCCATGTCAATCCACCATCCCATGTCAATCCACCATCCCATGTCAATCCACCATCCCATGTCAATCCACCATCCCATGTCAATCCACCATCCCATGCCAATTCACCATCCCATGTCAATCCACCATCCCATGTCAATCCACCATCCCATGTCAATTCACCATCCCATGTCAATCTACCATCCCATGTCAATCCACCATCCCATGTCAATCCACCATCCCATGTCAATCCACCATCCCATGTCAATCCACCATCCCATGTCAATCCACCATCCCATGTCAATCCACCATCCCATGTCAATCCACCATCCCATGTCAATCCACCATCCCATGTCAATCCACCATCCCATGTCAATTCACCATCCCATGTCAATCCACCATCCCATGTCAATCCACCATCCCATGTCAATCCACCATCCCATGTCAATCCACCATCCCATGTCAATTCACCATCCCATGTCAATCCACCATCCCATGTCAATCCACCATCCCATGTCAATCCACCATCCCATGTCAATTCACCATCCCATGTCAATTCACCATCCCATGTCAATCCACCATCCCATGTCAATCCACCATCCCATGTCAATCACCATCCCATGTCAATCCACCATCCCATGTCAATCCACCATCCCATGTCAATCCACCATCCCATGTCAATCCACCATCCCATGTCAATCCACCATCCCATGTCAATCCACCATCCCATGTCAATTCCACCATCCCATGTCAATCCACCATCCCATGTCAATCCACCATCCCATGTCAATCCACCATCCCATGTCAATCCACCATCCCATGTCAATCCACCATCCCATGTCAATCCACCATCCCATGTCAATCCACCATCCCATGTCAATCCACCATCCCATGTCAATTCACCATCCCATGTCAATCCACCATCCCATGTCAATCCACCATCCCATGTCAATCCACCATCCCATGTCAATCCACCATCCCATGTCAATCCACCATCCCATGTCAATCCACCATCCCATGTCAATCCACCATCCCATGTCAATTCACCATCCCATGTCAATCCACCATCCCATGTCAATCCACCATCCCATGTCAATCCACCATCCCATGTCAATCCACCATCCCATGTCAATCCACCATCCCATGTCAATTCACCATCCCATGTCAATCCACCATCCCATGTCAATCCACCATCCCATGTCAATCCACCATCCCATGTCAATCCACCATCCCATGTCAATTCACCATCCCATGTCAATCCACCATCCCATGTCAATCCACCATCCCATGTCAATTCACCATCCCATGTCAATCCACCATCCCATGTCAATCCACCATCCCATGTCAATCCACCATCCCATGTCAATCCACCATCCCATGTCAATCCACCATCCCATGTCAATCCACCATCCCATGTCAATTCACCATCCCATGTCAATCCACCATCCCATGTCAATCCACCATCCCATGTCAATCCACCATCCCATGTCAATCCACCATCCCATGTCAATCCACCATCCCATGTCAATCCACCATCCCATGTCAATCCACCATCCCATGTCAATCCACCATCCCATGTCAATTCACCATCCCATGTCAATCCACCATCCCATGTCAATCCACCATCCCATGTCAATCCACCATCCCATGTCAATCCACCATCCCATGTCAATCCACCATCCCATGTCAATCCACCATCCCATGTCAATTCACCATCCCATGTCAATCCACCATCCCATGTCAATCCACCATCCCATGTCAATCCACCATCCCATGTCAATTCACCATCCCATGTGTTCAGCTGGGTCAAGTGCTGGACGCTCAAGAGCTCTCATTCGCCGAGCATGCTCTCTTTACACGACACCCCGAAATGACGAGTAAGACTTCCTATTCTCCCCCTCCCCCCTCCCTCCCCTTCCTTTCCAGCCAACTATCCCCCGCCCCCCCCTTCTCCCTCCCATGCCCACCCCTACTGCCCGCTTGACCAAGTGACCGTATGCCCTCCTAGATCGTTCCAAATCACCCATATTCCGTACCATTATACAAGCAACCATTATACAAGCAACCATTATACAAGCATCCATTACACAAGCAACCATTACACAAGCATCCATTACACAAGCAACCATTACACAAGCAACCATTACACAAGCATCCATTACGCAAGCAACCATTACACAAGCAACCATTACACAAGCAACCATTACACAAGCATCCATTACACAAGCAACCATTACACAAGCAAACATTACACAAGCAACCATTACACAAGCAACCATTACACAAGCAACCATTACACAAGCATCCATTACGCAAGCAACCATTACACGAGCAACCATTACACAAGCAACCATTACACAAGCAACCATTACACAAGCAACCATTACACAAGCATCCATTACGCAAGCAACCATTACACAAGCAACCATTACACAAGCAACCATTACACAAGCATCCATTACGCAAGCAACCATTACACAAGCAACCATTACACAAGCAACCATTACACAAGCATCCATTACGCAAGCAACCATTACACAAGCAACCATTACACAAGCAACCATTACACAAGTAACCGTTACACAAGCAACCATTACACAAGCAACCATTACACAAGCAGCTGTACACTCGTAAACTTTCCCTCATGAGTCCGTCTCTCTCCCTCTACCCACCCCCCCACCCCCCCCCCTTTTCACAGTCTGGCCCAAGGACCACCATTTCCGGGTGTTCAAGCTTGTCCTTGCTAGTGTTTTCTTCATTAATGGCTTCGGTGGGCCCAGGCACATCACTGTAGAACAATACTACAGTGCATCTCTTGTGAATTTGTCCAGAAGCTTCCTCCATGAGGCTTGATTGGGTAACTGTAATCCTCAACGCCTGTACATTTGTACGCAGTGATTTTACTGGCATGTTTCTGCGTTCTGGTCTATTTTTCTGAATATAATAAACATTATTACGAATTGAGTACACCATGATAAAAGCATGTTGTAGCCCAACGAGGGGATTGGGCCATTTGAAAGCTAGAGAACCCTACAAATACCAACCCAGCCCACAGGAAACAAAACACTGTAAACGAATGAAAGGTACCTAAACCAGCCAAGGCCCCAGCAGCAACAGCTGCCATTACAAGCCAATGTGGCTTCGAAAAAACGCAGTACATGTTTGTTAATCTCAGCTCGTTACGCAGCGATGTTCGTGGAGCAGGACTTGGAGAGCACGTTGTTCTGTGTGGGGTTAACCACAGCGTTGCACACCAGTTGCACCTGTCGTACGTAAGAAAGTAAGAGGGGAAGTTGGAAAGGAGGAAGGAAGAAGTGAGGCAGGATAAGGGAGGGGTGGGTAAAGGAGGTAATATTTTTTTTTATCAGGGCATGTGTAACTGTAGTGCTATATGGGGTATGGACAGCGCATTGTAAAAGCCATCAGCGCTATGTGCTTGCATAATATGGCAGTATGTGAGGCTGGACGTGAGTATTGTGGCAACTGCGTGTGTATTTGGCGTCCATGGTACATGGTGTGTGGTGATTTGTGCTTATATCAAGTGGGCGCTGACATGTGTATACGTGGTGGAGTGTCCATGATGGTGTGATGTGCACATGGTGGTACGTGCTTACATTGAAAGCTGGTGTGGTGCTCTGAAGAATGCGAGTCCTGGCTTTCAAACTAATCACAACCTGTAGAAGCACAGAGAAGCAAAGTACGGAGGGAAAAACCTGATTGGTAGAAGCTGTGGAAAAAAAGGAGAATATACAAACAACCATCAATAAGGTTTTTCTCCTTTTTATATGAAGGCTGGTTTGTCACAAGTGAACTAAGGGAAAAACCTGATTGATGGAAACTGTCATAAGTCAACGAGGTTTGTATTCATTGTGATGTATCAGCCTTGGAAGCGCGCGCACGATATCAGTTTCTTTAACAGTAGCTACCTAACTGGCAGAACTTGCCTGAAACTCGAGCTCTCCATTGGCAATCGAGCCCGTGATAAGGCTTTGGTCGGAGAATGAGAGAAGGGGGAAGTTGTCGATGTTGAAAGGGACGGTGATGGTGGCGCTGCTGTTGGCAGGGAGAGTGAAGTCTGGTATCTGAAGGTAGTTGGGGCATGCAGGGAGGGAGAGTGTGTGAGGAAGGGCAGGAGGGAAGGGGGAGGTGTGTTGTGGAGAGAAGGGGGAGGGAATGGCAGAGGACGAGGGGGAAGGAGCAAACTGAAGGAAAACATTCGTGCTGAGATGATTGCTCTGTAAAATTTTATAAGCATATCAAAGAATTTTTACGTTAGAAACTCACATTAGCGTAGCCGGTGTCGACGCTGTAGAAGCTGACGTCTAGAGTGACCTCCTGCGCGATGATCTCTATGGGATTCGGATGTTGAGCCGCGCGGTGAGGTGGGAGTCCCAATTTTCAAGCTAAGTGCTTGGGGAATTCGGGCATAATAGAGTAAACACTTACATTCGCGTATCCGACGTCGACACTGTAGAAGCTGACGTCTACAGTAACCTCCTGCGCGATGATCTCGATGGGGTTCGGATTTGACACCACCGCCGCGACGTTGATCAGCGAGGTCAGATCGAGGCTTATTTCCTTGAAAGGCTCGAGGCTGAAGCTCCACGAATCAGGCCCCGATACCGACAGATGGCCGTTTTGAAAGTCGATTCCTTGTACTGATAGATCGGGCGGCTGGACAGGGGAAAAGGGTTGAGGGGGAAGGGAGATCGAGGCTTATTGAGAGAGAGAGAAAGAAACAGAACACAGGCTGGGCGGGGGGAAAGGGTTGGTGAAGAAGGGAGATCGAGGCTTGTTGAGGGTTCTAAAAAAACAGAACACAGGCTGGACGGGGGAGAAGGGAGATCGATGCTTATTTCCTTGAATGACTCGAGGCTGAAGCTGCACGAATCTCGCCCGGATACCAATAGACGACCGTTTTGGAAGCTGATTCCTTGTACTGACAGGTCTGTGGGCTGGGTGGTGCGGAGAAGAGTTCAAGGGAGGGACGAGGGATGTCGAAGCTGATTTCCGTTCGCAAGGATGGTTGTACCTTTATTAGCGCAGCGATTCTGCTGAGAATGTCTGTAGGCCCGTTGGAGCTCGACCTGGGAACTTGGGCCTCTAATGCCTCACCCAACCTGGATCGGAAGGAACCCTAGCAGCACCCCTACCTTTATTAGCGCAGCGATTCTGCTGAGAATGTCTGTAGGCCCGTTGGAGCTCGACCCGGGGACTTCCGCCGCTGGCGTTTGGGGTGGTGTCGGTGCTGCTGCTGATGCTGCTGCTGGGGGTGGTGCTGCTGCTGCTGGGGGTGGTGCTGCTGCTGCTGGTGATGGTGATGATGGTGCTGCTGCTGCTGGTGATGATGGTGGTGCTGCTGGTGATGGTGATGGTGATGATGGTGGTGCTGGTGATGGTGCTGATGGTGCTGAAACTGCTGCTGGCGGCTCATCATAAGGGGGATAATCATAAGGGTCTGTTGGCCCCCCCTCACTTCCTGCGCCTGCCCCTGCGCCTGCCCCCCCCCCAAGGTCTTGCGCACTGACAGGTCTCACTTCCGGATTCGCCTGCTGCTGCGCTGCTGAAATGTCCTCCACTCCATCGCCGGGCGTCTGCCACGTGGCAGAACCCCATGAGGTAGTAGCACCTCCCCCGGATCCGCCCTGGTTTGCGTGAATGCCGGAATTCGGCCGAATGTCCAGCCTAGCAACGACTGTGCTCACATTGCCCCACTCCCCCCCTATCTGCACCGTGCCTAGTAATTCCTCCCCCTGCTGCTGCTGAGTCAGCATCGCCTCTGCTGACGTGGCGTCGTTCGACCCCTCAGCGCCTCCCTGGCACTTCCCCTTGCCAGCTGTCACGCCAATCGCGACCCCCGCTGCTAGGAGGAGCGCCAGGAGAATGAGCGCCGCGCCCCCTGCTAGCAACACGCGCCTCTCCCGCGCCTTGCGCCTCTCCCCCTCCTCAATCTCGGACAGGCGCAGGAAGATGGCCTGTTCCGCCGTCTGGAGAGGGGAGGGGAACGGGGAAGGGGGGTGGGGGAGTGGAAGAGGGGGGAGGAAGGGGAAGAGTCCATAGAGGCGTCAAACCAGCAGCAAAGACCCCCGCTGCTATTGGGAGCGCAAGGAGAATGAGCGCCGCGCCCCCTGCTAGTAACGCGCGCCTCCCCCGCGCCTTGCGCCTCTCCCCCTCCTCAATCTCAGATAGGCGCTGGAAGATGGCCTGTTCCGCCGTCTGGAGAGGGGCAAGGGAGGGTGAGGAGGGGGGAGGGGGGGGGAGATGGGTGGGGTTGGGGTTGTGGGGGAGGTGAGATAGGCGCGTGGCCGAACCCTTCGCCCAGCTCCCGCGCACTGCGCCTCCGCCTCGTCTACCTTGTGTTAGTTTTTTTACAGCGTCTTCTACCCATGCGGGCATGCGGGCATGCGCAGAAAGATGGGCCTGCCCCCCCCTTCGGGGTGGCTCGGTAGACTCAAAAGTCGGCTCCGCCGTCCGGGTGGTATGTGGAAGGGAAGGGGGGAGGGGGGAAGAGGGGGGAGAAGAGGGGGGGGGGGGGTAGAAAAAGAGGGGTCATGAGGGGCGGGTTGTGCACTAAGAAGGGGATCGGAACGGGGGCAAAACGGGGGGAGGGGGGGGGAGGAGGGGGGGGGGGGAGGCGGGGAGGGGCGGAGGGGGGGAGAGGATGAGAGAAGCGGAGAAGCGGAGAAGCGGGATCGGAACGGGGGCAAAACGGGGGGAAGTTGCGCATCGCAAAACGTTGACTGAATTTGGGCTGAGCTGAGCCCCATCGGCCACGGTTACTAGCGCGCCTGGAAAACAGGCGCAGCACATTCCACCGTGGAATAGAACTCTGGCAGAACGGGTAGGGGACGAATTTCTGAGGCGCCTCAAAAATACATTCCACGGTGGAATAGAATTCTGGCAGAATTCCAGGGCACGAATTTCCGCCTCAACAATCCATGGTCGGCGGACCGCGGAGGGGGAAGGGTTGGCGGGGGAATGAGTCAGCGGCTGCCTGTAATGTGGGGCTGGCGTGCGGAAGAGTCCGCGCCGATTCCGACATGTAACACGTACGAGTGCCTTTTCGTTGACCACGTCATGTGCGTCGCTTGCCACGTCAGCTCGTCCCCCCTCCGCCGTGGAGTCATTTACGAGTTTGCCGTGTCCCCCCTCCACGTCCTCCCAGGAGGCTGGTCGGTGGGAGTAAGGCGCCATCAGCGCCACGTGTCAGTCGCCGGTGAAATCTCACTTGCCACGTGTCAGCGCACCACCGGGTAGCGATTACTAGCAGCCTGTGCGAACACGACTCGGTGAACGAAGAGATGATACTAAGTCGTACGATGTTAGCGCCCGATAAAGACGAAGGGAGGAGAAAATCTGTCTCAGTTGGAGCGCCCCCGAGCCTCCTGCCAGACGTTGGGTTGAGCGACGTTAGGAACGCCCATTCGAAGTCCTTGGAGGATGCTAAGACTGGCCAACTGCTGGAGGTACAGCTGAAGAAATCAGAAGGTAATAAATAAGTACGTCGGTGTCATCTCGTGTCGTACAATTGCGTGGAGACTGGGACTAACTACAGTAGGGCTACATAAAGAAAGATACCTGCCAAGGCAGGGTACCTGATTTGTCGTTCATGGGAACGTGGGTTTTGCTGGAAGAATGGATTCGGGAAATTCACGTGTTTGCATTCCCTGGCTGCTTGCTGCCCTTGAAATACCCGAAGGCCTGTTCTATAATTCGGGCTAATCGCCCTGTGCTGTACTTAAAAAACCTTTACATTTCCACACTCCTATGATGCTCGCGCACCACAATCCATTCACAGTTCCAGACGAAGACCGCTTGTGTAGCCCTGTATTGTGATTCAAGAAACGTTTCTCATCCCGAAAACCAGCTGTTTCGGTTAGGTTCGGCGAGTGGCTGCGAATGAGCAGCGACGAATCGCGCTGTTCGCGTTCTTTGATTGGTT